CGCAGCCTTATGTTGAAAATTCTGAAAGTTCTATGTTTTGACACAACGTCTTCTCTTAAAAAAGTACTTTTTGGACATCTCTTTAATCAAAAACTAGACCCTGTGAGCAGGGTAACTGGGATACCTGGATGGTACTGGATCCTTGGAATCAAGTGTAGTGATACTACGGGTGTCGGACTAGTATACTGAAATAGTGCGCTCAAGTCTGGCCAGGGGCATACACCTATTTCAAAACATAGGCATGCTATGCGTGCAAGAGTTCCTTTTTTGTAGGGTGGGTGGATTACTTGAAACATTGTGAGTGATGTCTACATTCTTACAAAAGGAGAGAAGAATATTAATGTGGGAAAGAACGAAAATGTCGAATTTCCTCACTCACAGGTATTTTGTGGTAGATTATGTGTGTTTTGCGAATAAATGTAACCAAAAATAAACTGTATTGGTGCCACGGATACCTGTTAGTACAAAATGCAGACAGCAGACTGCAGACCGGATACAAAATATAGACTGCAGACTGCAGAGTGGGTACAAAATGCAGACTAAGAATCTGAAGAGTTTTTGCGTCTGGTATATAATAACATGTCATCTTACAGCTTACCGAGCGTCACGCAATCGCTTTTCTGCAACCGTCTTCACGATTATTTGCACTATTGTGGAATATTCCTGGCCCATTTCTTGATGAAAATCGATCGCAATATTATTTCAAGCCTTCATTATAGTCTTCTTACGTTGCGCGCGAGTTGGTTGGTGTGATGTCTGTACAGATTTTATCAACGTAATAAAAGTAGATGATGTACACAACAGTGATGGTAAAGCACGCTTAAAACGGCAGAAATCGCCAGAAAATACAACGGATACACAGGGTATGAGTAAGGTTTATTGATTTTACGAGAAAAATGTTCATATTACGAAATATGTATCGTTGTAAATCGACCATACTTCGTTCCATGGACTATTCCTTATAACGTGCAGTTCCTCTCGTAACTTAACACCGAGTCACACAACGCGTGACGCGTTCATGAATTAATCGTTGGCTTTTTCTCGAGACGTGAGCTCGGGCCGCTTGTGACAAGACAATTGCGTAAACAATATTTAACATAACAACATTATACACAAAAAAACACAGGGTTTTGGATCACGTATTTATTAAAAAAGAATATCCATACAACTACAATGAAAACAAACATAAGATTCACCTTTCTGATCGTGAAATTAATACCATTCGTACTGTTATCGTAGCTACGTTCCTTGCCATCAAGTGAATCCAACATGTCGTCTTTCTTCACAAGCAGTTTGCATCCCATATAGTTATGTTCTTCAGTCTCACGGTAGTAGCGTTGTTCAATAGATTGCATAATAGATTGCAGTTTGGTTTCAGATTTCAGATTTTGCTTTTTACAACAAGTGAACGTTTTTCAACTAAGAAATTGGCATACTTAGCATAAAAGGCATTCAAGGCTTTCATGGCTTTCAAGCGTTCGCGACTCAATCCGTTCCAAAATTACCGCTTAATAACATCTTTCAATGTGGATTAGCCGCGATTAATACGACTTGTATATGCGTCTGTAAGTATTTTGCGCGTTTGCGTTATAATGCTCCAGGAGATCGCAATCCAAATACGTTGAAATACAAAACAACTGACCAAAGAGTTTTATAAGCAAAATCTCGTGTTCGTCATGTGACCCGGCCCTGTCTGTGCATGACAACGTCAATCATCATCAAGATAATACGCGTGATCAGCATGTGAACACCTCATTGGATCACAGTTAGTTGTCATGGTGTTGAGGGATAACACGCGTGATCAGTATGTGAACACCTCATTGGATCACAGTTAGTTGTCATGGTGTTGAGGGCCCAATGACCTCTGGGTACTATTGCGCAATTTTTCCATTTTGTGGCGGAGGAAAAAAACAAACAAAAAAAAAAAACTAGACCCTGTGAGCAGGGTAACTGGGATACCTGGTTGGTACTGGATCCGTGGAATCAAGTGTAGTGATACTACGCGTGTCGGACTAGTATACTGAAATAGTGAGCTCAAGTCTGGCCAAGGGCATACACCTGTCTCAAAACATAGGCATGCTATGCATGCAAGAGTTATTTTTTGTAGGGTGGGTGGATTACTTGAAACATTGTAAGTGGTCTACATTCTTACAAAAGGAAAGAAGATTATTAACGCGGGAAAGAATGAAAATGTCGAATTACCTCACACACAGGCATTTTGTGGTAGATTATGTGTGTTGTGCGAATAAATGTAACCAAAAATAAACTGTATTTGTGCCACGGATACCTGTTAGTACAAAATGTAGACTGCAGACCGGATACAAAATATAGACTGCAGAGTGGGTAAAAAATGCAGACTGAGAATCTGAAGAGTTTTTACGTCTGGTATATAATAACATGTCATCTTACAGCTTACCGAGCGTCACGCAATCGCTTTTCCGCGATCAGCCTTCACGATTATTTGCACTATTGTGGAAAATTCCTGGCCCATTTCTTGATGAAAATGGATCGTAATATAATTTCAAGCCTTCAACATAGTTGGTTGGTGTGATGTCTGTACAGATTTTACCAATGTAAAATAGTAGATGACGTGAATAATAGTGATGGTAAAAGCAAGCTTAAAACGGCAACAATCGCCAGAAACTACAACGGATACACAGGGTATGAGTAAGTTTTTTTTCGAGAAAAATCTTCATATTTCGAAATATTTATCGTTGTAAATCGACCATATTTCGTTCCCCATACTATTCCTTATAACGTGTTCAAATTTTCAACGGTTCCTAAAATAACTTACTCTGAGTCACACAACGCGTGACGCGTTCGTGAATTAATCGTTGGCTCTTTCTCGAAACGTGACCTTGGGTCGCCTGTGACAAGACAATTGCGTAAACAATACTTGACATAATAACATTATACACAAAAAACATGGGATTTTGGATCATGTATTTATTAAAAAAGAATATCCATACAACTACAATGAAAACAAACATAAGATTCACCTTTCTGATCGTGAAATTAATACCATTCGCACTGTTATCGTAGCTACGTTCCCTGGCATCAAGTGAATCCAACATGGCGTCTTTCTTCACTAGCAGTTTGCATCCATTTGAATTTTGTTCTTCAGTCTCACGGTAGTAGTGTTGTTCAATAGATTGCATAGAGTACATGCAGTTTGGTTTCAGATTTCAGATTTTGCTTTTTACAACGAGTTTACGTTTTCAACTAAGACATTGGCATACTTGGCATACAAGGCATTCAATGCTTTCATGGCTTTCAAGCGTTCGCGATTCTGTCCGATCCAAAATTACCGCTTAATAACATCTTTTTGTGTGGATTGGCCGCGAACAATACGACTTGTGTATGCGTCTATAAGTATTTTGAGCGTTTGCCCCATAATGCTCCAGATGATCGTAATCCAATTACGTTGAAATACAAAACGACCGACAAAATAGTTCTATGGGCAAAAATCTCGTGTTCGTCATGTGACCCGGCCCTGTCCGTGCATGACAACGTCAATCATCATCAAGATAGCACGCGTGATCAGCATGTGAACACCTCATTGGATCACAGTTAGTTGTCATGGTGTTGAGGGCCCAATGACCTCTGGGTACTATTGCGCAATTTTGCCATTTTGTGGCGGAGGAAAAAAACAAAAAAAAAAAAAAAAAAAAGACGACAAAAAAACAAAGGCATTTTATGACTGGGCTACCACAGGTATCCCAGTAATAATATTTACTAGGTCTTAGAATCTTCATAATGTCGCTAGGCATCGCTCGAAGTCCGAAAGTTTGGTTTTCATTCTATGGCCCCAATTCGCACCGCCTCAGTGAATCCTAGTGTTGTTGACTCGAAAGGTTATTTTGTCGCTTTTAAGACTTTGATGTCAATTATTTTCCGAGCAGAGTATTCTATAGCATTTTTTATTTTTATTTTGTGTTCCAGAAGGTCTAACGTGATCGGTAAGGAACGGAAAATCCGACTTGAAAATATTGAAAGTCGGTCGCGCGGACGCCCTTTTTTCATATTTGATCATTTCTTGTAAACGCATAAAGTGACCCCTTTTTAGTATCCGCCAAAGTTATCAAAATATCTGCGCAAAAGACGGATTCTGATTGGTTTATAGATCCTCTTACAATAGAGGAGTCTGTGGACTAAATTCTGCATAGTAAGGGGGTGGGAAAAAGCGTCTCTCGTGTGAGTCCACCGCGCGCGCGGCATGGCCAGTTACGGGCGGTTTAGGTGTCAATGTGTTATTAAATTAAAGGGTAACTGACGCCAAATTTTCCTCCTTTTTTTTTGGTCCCAATACATTTCTCTTAGGTTAAAGAATCCTAAATGAGCAAATACACGATATATTGTGCAAAACCAAATTTTCCACAAATTTTTTTTTGTCGCGTACATATCAAACTCTTTCCCCAGTGCGACGAACATTTGTTTTTCTCGGTTCCAGGTGTACGCAACCACTAACCCCACGTAATGCGCATGCTCTCCGTTACGAATTTTCAAAATGGCAGACAAGCCAAAGAGGGAAATAAAAAAAAACAAAGCGATTTTGCAATGAATACTCAACATACACCCTCGTTAGAAAGGCGAATCCACGGAATTAAGATACAAAACTGTATGTTCGATATGATATAAATCGATACCGAGGGCTAATAGTGTTAATCATTTCTTTTCGTGAGTCTGATTAGCAGCCGTGATTGTATAAGGTAAGTTTGTATCGCCATTAGTGCAGGCTTGAGTCTTGGTTACGGCACTCACGAAGGTTTTTTTTTTTTTTTCATCTTCTTCCTTTTTCTTTTTTTTTCTTTTTCTTTTTTTTGTAACTGAACAAATTTATTAAGCTGCTTTATTTTCCCAATTTACTTAGTTTTGTAAGCAGAAGAAAAGTCCTCTTTTTTTACTCAGCTTTCACGAAATTTCCCCTCGTTTCCCCCTCTTTGAATTGTTCAAATTGTTATATTAAAACATCTAGCAGCAAGCGAATAACTGTAGTTTTTTTGTTCTCAGGTTTTATGGAAAGCTTACATAGATTTTGAGATAAACTTGGAAGAGTACGACAAAACACGAGATCTGTATGAGAGGCTACTAAAACGAACGCAACACGTCAAGGTTGTATTTTTTAATTATTTTCCCTAAATTCTATCTCTGCTATTTTGTTGAATCTCTTTTACAAGAGCAGATATTTCCATTATGTCCTTCTATTCGAGTATGATTGTTTTTAGTGCCTCGCAAAAGTGTACTGTGTCGTTAATTTCATCATGATATTAATTAACCGCGAACACGTCGAAGCAAATTTGCAGCCATGTTTCCCTGTATTCGCTTTCCTTGTGTAAGGCTCTAGTTTCCCTCTGTGATTCTCCTGAAATGTTCTCTTTATAGGTTTGGATTAGTTTTGCACAGTTCGAGGCCTCTACAGCAACCGATGAAAGCATCATACAAGCAAGGTATGTAAAAAGGCTATCCTACATTCTCCATCGAGATCGTGACCATAGTAGTTCATAAGTGGAAAGCCTACGGTCACGCAACGCCCGATCTTGATCGAGACCGTGACCATGGTAGTTCATAAGAGGAAAGCCAACAGTCACGCAACGCCTGATGAACCTTTGCGGAGAGCCCCAGAGCGGACAACCCAATGGAAGATTTATTTGTCCTGTAGGAGAGGATTCATGGTGGAATATTTAAGTTGAAATAGTTTCTACTGCTTCAAATGCTATCAAAAAATCTGTGAAATTGAATCCTCACCGTTCTCTATTTTGTTTGTACTATCAATATTATTTTTCAGAACTGTTTACGAACGCGCCGAGTAAAGAAGAGGAGAAAAGTACAAACGGACGACGGAGTAAGAAATCTCTTCAAACTTCTTCAAGTAACTTTGATTGTCTGTCGTCACGCAATCCGTTGCTTATGCCAAAATGTGACATATCGATTCTGTTTTCAGTTTTCTTACGAATTTGTTCCAAATGTGGCTGTTATCAGAAATAATTCGTAGCCGCGTGTATAATATTTTAGCCTCACTGCAATTTTCTTTTCTCTTTGTTAGATTTTATGTTTTTCTATGGAGATTTGAAACACTATTAAAATATTTTTCCTTGCAGTCAGACGCTGGATGGGAAGAATACTATGATTACATCTTTCCTGACGATGAAGCCAATATTCCTAACTTTAAACTGCTCCAGATGGCCAGGCTTTGGAAAAAGAACCCACAACAAATGAAATAATTATTTGTTGTTGTTGTTGTGGCTACTGGTGTTTTTGCTGTCGTATAAATATAACTAATCTTGTGCAGAATGTTCACCAAACAATAGAATAAAACTTCAATCTGTTCACTGTAAAGTGTTGAGGTCAGTCCTAAAGGAGTAATTTGTAGTTTGACAAGGGAGGGGTGGGGTAAAAGTATTAGAGGGGGAGGTGTAAGGGGCACAAATGTGACTTCATGAGTTCGTGACGTCCAAACTAAATTGCTGACAGATCTTTGTTATCCCTTTAATGTAAGCATCGGTATGCATATTGTCTTTACTGCTCTCTATGCATTTCCTAAGGTATTGACAAGGAGACTTTTTACTTAACAATCAAGAGCTTCTCTAGTTGGTGATCCCCTCCTTAATTGTCGTGACCTTAATATTTGATTGGGGGGGAGAAGGGGAGGGGGGGGGGTAATTAGATGCTGGTCACTCTTATGGTTTGAAGGGTCATTGCAATGGTCTCAGACAAAAATATTTTTGGAGCTGACCAAATTCATGCAATTGGATCTGTTGTGGAATCTTGATTCCCTTGTTTTCCAAACCTGGATGAAAAAGTTCCTGAGTAATCAAATATTTTTATACAGTGATTATCTCAATTGGAAATATGAACAAAGTTTTTGAAGATTCATACAGACTGAAGATTAGTTTGGTAATGAGCCCTGAATAGAGTGTGACTGAAAATTGCATACAATGAGTACAAGTCAAGTATTTAAAATATTTTTATTTATCCAAACTACAAAACTACCCAAAAAATGAAGTACAGTTTACTCCTAGAATTACTACCTGTATGTACAGTGCATCAGTTGATTATGATTGGTAAAATGGAATTAAGAAGGAAAACTAATCCACCTGAGTGCTAAATGAGTATATATATAAACATGCATATTTATTATCTAAGTTGTGAAAAATTTTAACTTATCAGACGCAAACCAACTGGTTGTTTAAAAGGGACTAGGAACAAATGGATCTTGGGAGTAAAGAGAAACAAATCTCATTTGGAGGCAAAGTGGATGGTTAGGACCTGGGAACTCTAGATTTAAATTCCAGTGCCTCCACTCTTTAACTCCAAGAGGTGATTAACATGTAAATTCTCCTTGCAATTGCAAAATGTTATCTTGCAAACAGGTTATGAGAACATACAAGCTTATCAGCTGGTGGGTGTTATTCTGATGTAATACCAAATTCTCTTGTCGGATTTATAGAGAAATGTATGGTAGTCAGTGGGAAGAATTACTAATTGGATCTTTGAATTCAAGAGGTGAAGCCACTTGGCCATGGTCTTTCTGCAACTTCCAATCAAATAACATTGGAGCAATCTCCTTAAATTCACTTTGGAAATGATTGGTGAAAAAGACATACATAGCTAAACTGTACATCATTCATTTAAAAGAATATACCTAATTGAAACACTTTTACCTAACTATCTGAAACCCCTTGTACAAGGCACAGAAAATTGAGGTCCCATTGATTATGTCTTTTTCTTTTGGTTTTTTTTTTTGCTCTATTCAGTGAAGTTTTGTCCAGATTACATTAGACCATATGATAGTTCTTTGCCCTGATGAGGGCTGTGTCTTCCTGAAATATCTGCTCTTCTTATTCGAAAGAATGAAGTAAAAGGCACACCACATGAAGAAAAGTTAAATATATCCTAGACTCGTTTAAGTTTCCTTTTCTGAATATAATTTTCCTATGTATCTGACTGCTCTTGGGGTGTTAGTCAATTTTGCGCTAACCCCCTTCCCCCTGGCTTCTGTATTTGAGGGCTAACGATGCATTTACACCGTTGAGTGTTTCTGCCGCTTGTGAAGAAATTTTGCTCAAAAAAATTGAGTGATTCGACTTAAGTTTTCGCTGGCATAGAGCATTTGAATGATTCATAAAATTGTAGCACATTTACCTCAGAACATATATTTTCTTAGTTCCATAGCTTGTGACTAGTATACGCCCATCTGGCGCTGTTACAATTCGACGTGGATCTTTTAAAGGAACGGTAGTTTTGCCTGTAAAGCGACCGTCCAAAGAAAATTGCTGAACTCTTTTATTGTCTGAGTCACAAACAAGAAGGTTATTGGAGCCATCTAAACACATGCCACGGGGTGTGTTGAACTGTCCGTCTTGATTCCCTTTTTCGCCAAACTTGTACAAGAAAGTCTTTGACGAATTAAATGCTTTTACAACGTGATTGTCTCTTTCAGTTACCAGGAAAATGTTTTTGTAAGAAATGCAGCTGTATGGTGTGCTGAGTTTCTCTGGACCACTGTCTCCTATTGTGAATAGAGCTTCGCCCTCTTTTGACATTACTTGAACTCTATTGTTGTGAATTTCAGTGACAACTAAACGGTTTGCGTGATCGAGGTGCACAGAACATGGAGCCATAAAGTGTCCTTTTCCCTCACCTTTTTTTCCGAAGGTTTTCAAAACAGTTCCTGTCTGGATATTTATGTGTTGTATTCTATTATTTAACTCATCTGTAACAAGAACTTCGTGGTCGTTTAAAAATAACACTCCGGTGGGATGTTTGAATTGTCCAGGATCTACTCCTTCTTTTCCAATTTGTTTCAAACAGTTCCCTTCTTTATTGAATACAAAAACACAGTGTCCAAGATTATCTACAACAGCTATGTCGCCTTGCTTGTTAACGGCGATTCCACTTGGTCCACTGAACTCCTGCCCTTGGTTGAACTTCAAGTCCAATTCGCCGACTATGACAAGTTCACGTTCTTTCACTGGCAAAGTGAACGGACAGGTCGGAAGCTTTTCGCCATTAATCTTTACCTCAACGTTGTAGGCACCAGGCACTTTAGGTGTAAACTTCAATCTAAGATTGCCTTTTTCTCCTGCTTGAACAGTCACGTTTGTGACATCTTCGGTGGGTTTTATCAGCCATTCAACTTGATCGCTAAGATCGGCCTGGTAACTAGTCTCTCCCTCTGCTGTTTTTGGACACAACGTTAACTCTGCTTCTACACCAGCAAAGAAAGTTCGATCCAGTCCTTCTAGAGTTGATTTAGCGGCTTTTGCCGGTTTCTCGGTGAGTTGAATAAAACCCAGTTTCAAGTGTTGTTGCGATGTCGCGGTAAATTTGACAAATGTTGTCGGATGATGCCTTGAAATCTCAACTCCACGAAGCTCTTGAAATTTCAGCTTCAAAGTTGTCTTGGTCTGTATAATATTCAAGCCTGAGCTACTCTGCACCAGATTTTCTGCAAACTCAGCCGCTTGGTTCATTTGTTTTACCAGAGATTCCAGTTCTTCTTTAGCCGAGTTAATTCGCTCTATTCTCTTCCGACGCGTCATTTCTAAGGACTCTAACAGCTGTTTTTCTTGCAGTCGCGTCTTTGTGATCACGTATTGAGCTGCCTCAGACACTTGTTGCTTAGCGATAGCGATGATCATTTCATCATCCTCAGAGGTTTTCTCAAGTTTTCTTATCTCTTCTCGAAACAAATTTGCCTTTTCCTTGATGGTTTCGACGTTCAACATGATGTATTTCTTATCCTCCTGCAGTACCTTTTCAATAACGTCGAACTCATGGCCTCGGTGGTCTTCGGCGAAGCAAACAGGACAAATACACACTTCGCAGGAAGAGCAGAAATATCGTAGTCTTTCGTTCTTGTGTTGCGAGCAAAATGGCGGCCTCAGCAAGGCCTCGCGATCTTCTGTTTCAAGTAGACCTATCAAAGTATTTTGGTGAAAGCTGGTGGGCAAACGGTCGAAGCGATTGCCTTCAGGTAAATCGATTTCCGCCTGACACTCGGGGCATCTGAATTTGCCTTGTCTATGGGTTTTTCTTGCATGTTCCTCCAAACACTTACAGCAAAAAGTGTGGAAGCACGATAATATTTTGGGGTCTGTGTAAGTATCGAGACAAATTGAACATGTGACTTGTTTCTTGAGGTTTTCCACGAGAGGTTCCATCACGGTTGCCTTGAAGTACTGGTTACTCAAGCGACGAATACAAACAAACTGTGAAATCTAAGATTTATTGTTTGATTCCGAGAAAACAGAACAAGGTCCATGACAGCTGAGTTTTTGTAACCAATCATATTCAAGGACGTAGTTGACCTTTTTTGTAACGCTGTGTCAGTGTTAATTCCTCGTTTATGATGAATAGACTTAGTCGGTCGCGTTGAAACCGTGAAACCGTGATACGCTCGTTTTAAATGTTGTCATATGCGGGGCGAAATTACTGAATACTGATTGCCTGAGACAGAGGACATATTTTTTTTCTTAATAATAAGGGCACTTCTGGTAATCAAGAGGGCATGATTACTTGATGCTGATTGAACCTTTTTGCTCTTTGTGGCGACGATTTATTGATTCAGTTTAACTGAATGAAGCAGTGTAATCTTACGAACTGTACTCCGCCACATATGCGGGACTATAACCTCCCAGCAGTTTTTTCACGCAGAGCGTTCATTTCCACCACGCGAAAAAACACCCCGCTACGTGCATAATCAGGCCAAACGAGGCACGCAAAGACTGTCGCGTTCACGAGCGACGGTTGTTTTTGGGTCTGTCCTCACCCAGACGATCATAAAAATCACACAACACATTCAATTCACAACGAGATAACAGATCTGTCCTTTGCGGTTGGAGTGTAGGTCTTTTTCTTAAACTGTCATCGACGTCCCGTTCGTGAAAAAAAAAATTTACCGGTGGCTTTACGTGGGATAGACAGTACAAAAAAAAATTGGAACAAACAGCCAATGTTTCAGTTTCGTAGAAAACAAAACAAAGTCCTTGACAGCTGATCTATTTTTTTCCTGTCACTTTTGTTTGGCTTAGTTGACCCCTTTGTAACGTTAAACTAAACGTCCTTGAAGGATTCTAATCGTTCAACGAGATAATCGCCTTTCGCGGGTCTTAAAATGTGTTTAAAGCTTCTTTCCCTCTCCCCCTTGTTTTTTCATTAATTTTTTGTCTACTGTCAAATTCAATCTTTAAGATTGTTCCACGCTCGTGAAGGACTAAATTTACAAACTTTAAGCAGTCTACGTACAAGGGACGCTTCTTCGAAATATGCTTTACTTAACAAACAATTTGTTGAGAAACGCATTTAATCCTGTGAACCCGTAACATTTTTGTTGATAAAATTGTTGCTTGAACAAGTTTTTGTAGAAAAAGTCGTTCCCGACAGGTTGTTTTTCAAAGACTGTCTGTGTAGGAAGTCTCCAATGCAAAAGAAAAAAAAAAAAAAGAAAAACAATAAAAAAAAATAAATTAAATTAAAAAACCATTGACGCAAAAGTAAAAACAGTGTCTGAACCCAACTGGACTTGTTGCCATTAGAGGTGGATTACTTATAGAAATAATACGTTTTGGCTCAGAAAATGACCAATTAAACTACATTGCTGACAGAATTCTGTCGCTGAAATTGTCTGGAAAAATGTTGCTTGAAGTCGATCTAACACATTCCATGGCGTCTGTTTAAGCGTCCATCTTGATTCCCTTGTTTTCTAAACTTGGGTCAGAGAGTTCCTTCGTGATGAAATGTTTTTATGCGGTGATTTGAAAATTCAGACAGGCTGAAAATGAATTTAGTAATAAGTACTTAACCCTTTCAACCCTAAGAGTGATTAGTATCTAATCTCCCAACAATTATCATTCTGAATCAGACATTAAAGAGAATAAAGGAAATGATCACCAATGAAAGAAACTCTAGATCGTTAAACAAATTCTCCTTGGAAATGTATAGAGAACAGTATAGAGAAGTTGCACACTGATGTTAGGGTTTTAAGAGACAATAGAGCATAACTTAAAATTGCATGCAATGTGTACAAGTCAAGTATTTTACATATTTTTATTCATTCAAACTAAAAATCTACCGAAAAAAATTGGAAATACATTTGCAACCTAGAATTTCTGAGACTGAGTGTACAGTGTATCAGTTGATTATAACTGGTAAATGAGACAAAAAGGGCAGCAAATTATCCAGGGAAAAAGTTGTTTTTAAGACTTCTGAGAAACAAATCTCATGGAGCGCCAGAGTGGATGATTAGGAACTGGGAACGATAGATGTCAATTCCAGTGCCTTCACCCTAAAACTCCAAGAGATGATTGACATGTAAATTCTCCTTACGTTTCCAATATGTTATCTTGCAGAGAGTTTATGAGAAAAGACAAGCTTTTATTTAGACAGAAAGCTGAGGGAATTATTTTGATGTAACACCAAATTCTCCTGTGAAATTTATAGAGAAATATATGTTAGTAGGTGGGGAGAGTTACTAATTGGATCTTTGAAGTCAAAGGGTAGAGCCACCCGGCCATGCCCCTTCTGCAACTTTCAATCAAATAACATCAGAGCAATCAAATCCCCTTAAATTCACTTTGGAGATTATTGGTGAAAAAGACATGGATAGCTAAAGTGCACATTTTTCAATGAAAAGAATATACCTAATTGAAACATTTTATACCGAACTATTTGAAACCTCTTGTACAAGGCACAGAAGTTTGAGGTTCCTATTGATTATGTCTCTTTTTCTTTCCATTTTTTTCCGTCTTCTTCTACCATGTGGTAGTTCTTTTCCCTGATAAGAGACGTGTCCTCAAAAAGCTGCTCTTGTTATTCGACCAGATGAAGTGAAAGGCTGAGCACACAAAGTAAAGTTAAATCTATCATAGACTCATTCAAGTTTCCTTTTCTTAAGATAATTTTCCTATATGTCTGACTGCTCATGGTGTATAAGTCAATTCTGTGCTTACCTCCTCCCCCTGGTTTCTGTATTTGAGGGCGAACGATGCACTTACACCGTTAAGTGTTTCTGCCTCTTGTGAAGAAATTTGCTTTAAAACGTAAATGATTGGACTTAAGTTTCCACTGGCATACATTCAGCAGCTGAATGATTCGTAGAATAGTAACATATTTACCTCAGTATATATATTTTTTTAGCTTTAAGGCTTGTGACCAGTATACGCCCATCTGGTGCTGTTACAATTTGAAATGGACTTTGTAAAGGAACGGTAGTTTTGCCTATAAAGTGACCGTCCAAAGAAAATCGCTGAATTCTGTTATTGAAATAGTCACAGACAAGAAGATTATAAGAGCTGTCTAAACACATGCCACGGGGTGAGTTGAACTGTCCGTCTTGATTCCCTTTTTCGCCAAACTTGTATAGGAAAGTGTTTGACGCATCAAATGCTTTTATGACGTGATTGTCTCTTTCGGTTACCAGGAAAATATTTTTGTAAGGAATGCAGCTGTATGGTGTGCTGAGTTTCTCTGGACCACTGTCTCCTATTGTGAATAGAGCTTCGCCCTCTTTTGACATTACTTGAACTCTGTTGTTAGAGAATTCACTGACTACAATTCGTTCTGTATCGTCAAGGCAAATACTAATTGGAGTCTTGAAGTGTCCTTTTCTCTCACCTTTTTTCCCAAAGGTTTTTACAACATATCCTGTCCGGATATCTATACGTTGGATTCTATTGTTTGATTGATCTGCAATAAGTACTTCGTTGTTGTTTAAAAATGACACCCCATTTGGATTTTTGAATTGTCCAGGATCTGTTCCTTCTTTTCCAATTTGTTTTAAACAGTTCCCTTCTTTATTGAATACAAAGACACAGTTTCCGTGATAATCTACGACAGCTATGTCGCCTTGCTTGTTTACAGCGATTCCATTGGGTACCTGGAACTCCTGCCCTTGATTGAACTTCAAGTCCAATTCACCGATTACAACAAGTTGACGTTCTTTCACTGGCAAGGTGAACGGACAGGTCGGAAGCTTTTCGCCATTAATCTTCACCTTAACGCTGTAGGCGCCAGGCACTTTAGGTGTAAACTTCAGCGTAAGATTGCCGTCCTCTCTTTCTCGAACAGTCACGTTTGCGACATCTTTGGTGGGTTTTATCTGCAACTCAACTTGATCTTTAAGATCGGGCTGGTTATAAATCTCTCCTTCTGCTGTTTTTGGACACAACGTAAACTCTGCTTCTACACAAGCCTGAAAAGTTCCATCCAGTCCTTCTAGAGTTGATTTAGCTGCGTTGGCTAGTTGGCTGTAGAGTTGAATAAAACCCAGTGTCAAGTCTTGTTGGGATGCCGCGTTAAATTTGGCAAATGTAGTCTGGTGATGTTTTGGAACTTTAACCCAACCAAGCTCTCGAAATTTCTCCTTCAAAGTTGTCTTAGTCTGTATAATATCTAAGCCTGACCTTCTTTGAACGAGGTTCTCCGCATATTTAGTCGCTTGGTTCATTTGTTCTACCAGAGATTCCATTTCTTGTTTAGCCGAGTTGATTCGCTCTATTCTCTCCCTCCGCGTCATTTCTAAAGACTCTAACAGCTGTTTTTCTTGCTGTCGCGTCTTTGTGATGACGTGCTGAGCTGCCTCAGACACGTCTTGTTTAGCGATTGCGATAATCATTTCCACATCCTCAGAGGTTTTCTCACATTTTCTTATCTCTTCTCGAAATAAGTTTGCCTTTTCCTTGATGGTTTCGACGTTCAACATGATGTATTTCTTATCTTCCTGCAGTGCCTTTTCAATAACGTCGAATTCATGGCCGCGGTGGTCTTCGGCGAAGCAAACAGGACAAATACACGCTCCGCAGGAAGAGCAGAAATATCGTAGTCTTTCGTTCTTGTGTTGCGAGCAAAATGGCGGCTTCAGCAAGTCCTCGCGATCTTCCGTTTCAAGGAGACCTAACAAACTATTATGGATGAAGCTGGTGGACAAACGGTCGAAGCGATTGCCTTCAGGTAAATCGATTTCCGCCTGACACTCGGGGCATCTGAATTTGCCTTGTCTATGGGTTTTTCTTGCATGTTCCTCCAAACACTTACAGCAAAAAGTGTGGAAGCACGATAATATTTTGGGGTCTGTGTAAGTATCGAGACAAATTGAACATGTGACTTGTTTCTTGAGGTTTTTCACGAGAGGTTCCATCACGATCGCCTTGAAGTACAAATTAATGAAACGACGAATTGTGAAATCTAAGATTTAATTTTTGATTCCGAGAAAACAGAGTACATGACAGCTGAGTTTTTGTGACCAATCAGATTCAAGGACGTAGTTGACCCTTTTTGTAACGTTATGTCAGTGTTAATTCCTCGCTTATGATGAATAGACTAAGTCGGTCAACCGAAAAACCGTGGCACGCTCCTTATAAATGTTACCACATGCGGGTTAAATTACTGAATGCTGATTGGCTGAGACAGAGGGTATTTTTTTTTAATCACGAGGGCAAAGAGCATGATCAGTTGATGCTGATTGAGCCTTGAGCCTTACTACTGTTTGCGGCATTGATATATTGATTGCAATTTGACTGTATGAAGCAGTGCAACGTCATTGACTGCATTCCGCCATAGATGCGGGACTGCTACTTCCCAGGAGTTCGGTCACGCACATCGTTCTTCTCCACTAAACTAAAAAAAAAGAAAAAGAAGAAAAAAAAACAACAACAACAAAAACACGCCGCTACGTGCATGGTCAAGCCAAACGAGGCACGTAAAGACTAATTGGATAGGCTAACGTTGAAACGGTCTGTCACGTTCACGAACAAAGGTCGTTTTGGGTCTACCCTCACCCGGACGATCATTTAACACAATCGATTCACAACAAGGCAACAGATCTGTATTTTGCGGTTGGATTGTCCGTCTTAGTCTTAAACTGTAATCGATGCTGGTGGCTTTACATAGGGGTAGACAATACTTGAAAAAACCGATGATTATCTTTTATCTTGATTTTTAGAGTAAAACTTGATATGCATATATGGCTTCTTACGTTGAAAATAAGTTAGGGCCTGTTTACATGGAGGTGGGGAACCCCAGGTAGGTGAGGTAACCCGCCTAGGTGGGGTAACTCGCCTGTCAATATAATTTCTTATTTTATCTTGATCACGTTTACATGATAGGTGGGGTGACCCGTCTGCCAGGTAGGGTAACCCTGTGACAATTTGCCATTTAAACGTCTCAAGGTGGGGTAACCCGCCTAGCCGGGGCTGTGTTCATGGCAAAAAGCTCAAAGGCGAAACATGTGTGTTTTAAGACTTTGTACATTTCCTAGCCGTCTCATGGCAGAAATCACCAGAAACTGCAACGGACACATGCGTAACCTGACACCGCGTAACACAACGCGTGACCCTTTCATGAATAAATACATATTGTCCGAGAATTAATCTTTCTTCTTATTCGAGATGTGAGCTTGGAACGCCTCTGCTCAAACTCCTTAATTGCAAGCGCAACAACAACCTCAAGAAACCTCACCCCAGCACCCCGGGTTGTAAGATTGCATTTAAACGCGTTTTATTTTTCGACCACGGCTAGGCGGGTTGCATAAAATTTATAAGTGAGAAAGAAGACGTAACTAGCAAAGGAACGTTTCAGTATGAAAGCTTTATCCAAAACAGTTCTTGATTTTCTTTTAGAAGCGTAAAACGTGCGAATTTCTTGCGTGTACGAAACACACGAAATAGAATTCATCATGCTTAGATCGTAGTTTACTTGACTTCACGGCCACAGATGGCGAGGTAATCATCTTGCGAAATAACTGTCATGGCGAAATTACAAGAGTTTGTATGGGAATATTTACGACCACTTAAAGGAATAAAAAAATAAGTCAAATTCTCAATAAAAATACCTTACCTTACATCCACGGTACATCGCTTGTTATGTGACCGCTTACTACTAGAAATGGATAACTCGCTAAAATGGGTGCTTTTCAACATGGTAAGCGGTCAGATAACAAGCGATGTACTTTGGAAGTAAGGTGAGGCATTTATCTTACATTTGTTGTTCCTTAGAGCGGTCGTAAATATTCCCATACAAACTCTTATAGTTTTGCCATGACTATTATTTCGCAAGATGATCATCTCACAGCTGGAGCTTAGGCCACCTGTGCACGGTCAGAAAATTGCGCAGCCTTATGTTGAAACGTTAAGTTATGTTAGAAGTTCTATGTTTTGACACAACGTCTTCTCTTTAAAAAGTACTTTTTGGACATCTCTTTACTCAAAAATAATATTTACTAGGTCTTAGAATCTTCATAATGTCGTTAGGCATCGCTCGAAGTCCGAAAGTTTGGTTTTCATTTTTACGGCCCCAATTCGCACCGTCTCAGTGAATCCTAGTGTTGTTGACTCGAAAGGTTATTTTGTCGCTTTTAAGACTTTGATGTCAATTATTTTCCGAGCAGAGTATTCTATTGCATTTTTTATCTTTATTTTGTGTTGCTCGTCGCTAATTTGTGTTCAGTCAGTCTAGTTGTGAGGTTTTTGCCTGAGTCTAGTAAGGATAGCATCAGAAGTAGAATTGCTTCCACTATACAATCAGCGTCACTACATGACAGCAACTTGACTAAAGACGAACAACATGCCCTCAAACGATTGAGAAACGACAAGGACGTAGTTATTCGGCTACCAGCTGACAAAGGACGAGTTACTGTTGTCATGGACAAGACTGACTATCACGACAAAATGAACGCACTTGTTAACAACAAACAAACTTACGAAGAACTCAAACGGCACCCGATTCCTGTGCTTCAACGCAAACTTAATAGCACATTACTGACGCTCAAGAAGACAAACACCATTGACACCCAACGCCACTACCGACTAAGGAGCTCAGTACCACAGCCACCGAAACTTTATGGTCTGCCGAAACTACGTACACAAACCTGGTTTCCCAATGCGACCTATTGTTTCCTTCTGTAGTTCTATACCAACTGTCCAAGTGCCTTACGACAATACTACAACCGCTCACCGACAGACGCAAACTACAATCCACCGAGGACTTCATTAACGCCACTAGGACTGTACAGATACCCGACTACAAACTAGTGTCATTTGATGTGAAATCGCTTTTTACAAGTATTCCACTTCAACTGGCACTACAATGTACTGAGACTGCTATCCTACAATCTACCGACCCTCTACCGCTACCGACAGAGGACATTATGGACTTACTAAACCTTTGCCTGACATCAACTTATTTTCAGTACAAAGGTAAACACTACAAACACTTACACGGTACAGCTATGGGGTCTCCAGTTTCTGCTGTTGTAGCAGAAATCAGGGGATGCAGAACATCGAGGAAAGCTCCCTTTCGACTTGCCGACAGACGATACCACTTTGGTTACGTATATGTTGACGATACTTTCACCGCCGTACGACACGACGAAATCGACGCATTCCGCCACCGCCGTAACGGACAAAACACTGACATACACTTTACTAGAGAGGTCGAAAGGTAATTTGCACGCCATTCCAAACAGCTGTAAAAACATACATTCCCACAATTTTTTCTTCTTAACCATTATCGAATCCTATACTTAAAGCAGTATTTTTTAGTCTATGCCGAAAAGTATTTGACTTAAGATTTTGTCGGGTGTATATCACTGTGACCTAAGACCCATTGGTTCTGGAGTGAGCGTTTTTGAGGTTTCAGAGGCTTATCAAGCTAGCTATGGTTTTATTTATTTATTTTTTTTTACTCTTTCAAAGACAATTCGCGATGTGAATTTTTTAAGAAACACACAACATCTATGAAATCACGCCTTATGTTTTAATTCGAACGTTTTATCAATTGTTGTGAAACGAAATGACATTTGCAATTCAGGTGATTTGCCCGAACTGAAATGAATATTCGTATAGTGCTTTCCACGGAGTTGTGGATTAAAACCGGAAGTTATGTTTTCATGAGAATTTCATAGCTCATCATTTTTGGCGAAGATGCTCTACTTCCTTTCGACTGTTAAAATTTTTATTCTTAAAATTTGTTTCTAGCACGAGGCCATGGTGTAAGTTCCTTTCTTTGAAGGTTATGTAAAACTATGGAATCAGCCTTGTAGAACGGAAATGACGTTGATAGGTTATTTTAAATTCTAATATTGTTTCCCACTTTTCCATCGTGCGGGGTTGGCAGCCGTGATCGTATAGTGGTTAGTACATTGCGTTGTGGCCGCAATAACCCAGGTTCGAATCCTGGTCACGGCATTCACGAAAGACTTTTTTTTTTCTCTTCTTCTTCCTCTTTTTTCTCTCTTTTTTTTTTTAACTGAACAAATTTATTAATCTGCTATATTTTCCCAAGTTACTTAGTTTTTTAAGCAGAGGAAAAGCCTCCTCTTTTGTACTCAGCTTTTACGAAATTTCCCCCCTAATTCCCCTTGTTTAATTGTTCAAACTGTTATATTAAAACATATAGCAACAAGTAAATAACAGCAGTTTCTGTTGTTCTCAGGTTTTGCGGAAAGCCTACATAGATTTTGAGATAAACTTGGAAGAGTACGACAAAACACGAGATCTGTATGAGAGGCTACTAAAACGAACGCAACACGTCAAGGTTGTATTTTTTAATTGTTTTTCCCTAAATTCTATCTCTGCTATTTTGTTGAATCTCTTGTACAAGAGCAGATATTTCCATTACGTCTTTCTATTCGAGTATGATTGTTTTCAGTGCTTTGCAAAAATGTACGGTGTCGTTAATTTCATCATGATATTAATTAACCGCGAACATGTCGAAGCAAATTTACAGCCATGTTTCCTTGTATTCGCTTACCTAGTGTAAAGTTCTAGTTTCCGTCTGTGATTCTCCTGAAATGTTCTTTTCAAAGGTTTGGATTAGTTTTGCACAGTTCGAGGCCTCTACAGCAACCGATGAAAGTATCATACAAGCAAGGTATGTAAAATGGCTATCCTATATTCTTGATCGAGACCGTGACCATGGTAGTTCATCTGAGTGGGAAACCTACAGTCACGCAACGCCCGATGAACCTTTGAGGAGAGCCCAAAGCGGACAACTCAACGAAATAATTTATTTGTCGTGTAGGAAAGGATTCATGGCGGAACATTTAAGTTGAAATAGTTTCTACTGCTTCAAATGCCGTCAAAAAATCTGTGAACTCGAATCCTCTGAGATGTGAATCATCTTTCGCCATTTTGCTCATACTATAAATATTATTTTTCAAGACTGTTTACGAACGCGCCAGCAAATCTCTCAGAAACGCAGAGGAGAAAGAAGAACGAGTTATGGTACTCGAAGCGTGGAAAGAGTTCGAGGTATTATTAAAATTGGTTGATAAAGAAACTTTTATGAAAGGTCGAACTGATTTAATTTTGTTATTTTGATCCTTTAGGATGAATATGGAGACGAAAGCTCACAAGAAAAAATCAAGAAAAAGATGCCTCGCCGAGAAAAGAAGAGAAGAAAAGTACAAACGGACGACGGAGTAAGAAATCTCTTCAAACTTCTTCTTATAACTTCGATTGTCGGTCGTCACGCAATCCGTTGCCTAAGCCAAAATGTCGCGTGACATATCAATCCTGTTTTCAATTTGTCAAATGTCTTGTTATCAAAAATAATTCGTAGCTGCGTATATAAAATTTTGGCCCCACTACAATTTCCTTTTCTCTTTATTAGATCTTATATTTTTCTTTGGAGATTTGTGACACTATTAAGAATATTCTTCCTTGCAGTCAGACGCTGGGTGGGAGGAATACTATGATTACATCTTTCCTGACGATGAAGCCAACATGCCTAACTTTAAACTGCTCCAGATGGCTAGGCTTTGGAAAAAGAACCAACAACAAATGGAATAATTATTTTTGTAGTTGTTGTGACTTCTGTTATTTTTTGTTTTCATTTAAATATCACCAATCGTGTGCAGAATGTTTACCAAACAACAGAATAAAACTTCAATCTGTTCACTGTAAAGTGTTGAGGTCAGTCTTAACCCTTTAACTCCCAGATCAAATTTTTAATTCTCCTTTCTGTCAACCATACAATTCTTATCATGTTAGTTCAGAGAATGTAGTGTTGGATCAACGAGTTATCCCCAAATTGATATTTTTCTTTATTCTCAACACTTATCTGGTTGATATTGTATTGACATTGTAAGGAGAAATTCCGTCTTGGTCACTGATGGGAGTTGAAGGGTTAAAGGAACAGTTGTAGTTTGACAAGGGAGGGGTGGGGTTGGAGTATTAGAGGGGGAGGTGCAGGTGGCATAAATGTGACTTCATAAGTTCGTGACGTCATAGGTAATGAGAGAGTTAGGACTGGGCACTGGTGACAAAATCTAACAGAGAAGACTTGTGCATTTATATATTAATTTAATGTTTATAGACCTAAGCCACTAATTTTAGTTAAATAAATTTTTCTTTCACAAAAACTGTTGATTCAAGTCTTAGAAAAACATTTGACGATGAAATCACAAACTTGATTTTTCAATGATATAATCATGTACCTTTTTCTAGTAAGTTGACATTGCAACAAATTTCACTATCTTGGAAACTCAGTTATATAAACTATTCTGAAATTGGCTATCATTAAGCTCTAAATTATCAACATATTTATTATTAGGTTTTTGTTATCATGTCACCCATAATTAATTAATTAAGCTATCATTAAGCTCTGATTTCCCGGAAACCTAAATTTGTCCAAGATAAATTATCAACATATTTATTATTAGGTTTTTGTTATCATGTCACCCATCATAAAGTGCTCAAATATATGAAATATGCATACTCATTAATAATATCATTTAAATATATATTTCTGCAAATACCATTACTAAAAAAATTATGCTTGTGTTTTGAACTATTGTCGATGTGAAAAAGAATCTTATTAAGTTCTACTTCTTTAAAAAATAAATAGCCACTATTTCTATAAATATTCGAAAGTGATTCAACACTAGATCCAAAACAGAATGACAAATCTGCTACTACCTGGCCTTGAAAAAAAAAAAATTGCTATTTGTGCATGTAAAGACACTATTATCATTAAGTTACTGATACAGTTTACCACTCACTGTTTTCTAATCAGATTTTGAGGCACAACCTCTTTCATGGTTTTTAGCAGTAATATTAAAAAGAATTTTGTGATATAAGTTATGATCCCCCAAATATGTCCTAGCTTGTTTTAGTCTTTGACTGTATTTCATGCACATAAGTTCACCTTCTTTAGATTAGCGTTTCTTTTGCCTCGTCAAACGGGCGAAATTCTGGGGCGTAACTGTGAGAAAAGAATCAACCATGTAAAGCCTTAATATTATAAACATTTTATAAACAATGTACGTAAGGAAGGTTTGCGCTCAGGGGTGGGGATGGGGAGGGAATGCAGCCGAAGGCCCTGATCCCCATGATGACAAAATCTGCTCATACCGCTAACTGTGCAGTACATCGCGAATTTTGACATATCGGCTTCACAGAGCCACTTCAGTCAAATTACGGAGAATGAGATGAAAAAAATGTTAGTACTGCGCATGAAAACCGCGCATGGCCAATGTTCACGCCTTGTTCAGGACTTGAGGTCTAGAGAGACATCCTGTCCAAGAAGTTGCAAAATCGTATGTCCTGTTAAACACATATCAAGACCGTGGTTAGCCCTCGATCAGGAGTTCATATCTTTCGGGGAAGGGGGGATAGTGCGGTGACACAAGAGTGGACGGAACGTGTTTCCGACCACTGACTCTTGCGCTGCTACGCCATCGCGTGCCCCTGAAAAAGGAAAAGAGAGAGGCAAAAAAACGCGCCTGGTCGCAGGGTAGACCACAGCGGACACACCCAACAGGGCAGGTTGTTCTTGGTTACGTTCAAATTGTTGTCAAGAAAAGGTATTTGAATTTCCAAGGGTGGCTTCACCCAGAGCCTGGATGTATCATCAATTTGGAGATGATTTTGGGGCAGCATGAGCGATCAAGCAAGAAGAAACAAAACAAAGATATTCACCGCCCTTCCATAGAAAGAAGCTCACATAAGGTATTATCACCTACCCCAAGTAAATTTCTCGGTATGTACCCAGTCTCCTCGCGGTTGTTCCGGGCCCACCACCATTCCTTCTCGGTCTCATCTCCCCGCGTCAGTACCAGTAATTCTTCGCCGCATTCGAAGCTCAACTCGTCGTCCTTTTCAGCTGTGTAGGTGTAGAGTGCGTAAACCCGACCGTCGTTAACGAGTCCGAAGTTTTCCTGAACATCTGAATGAGGAGAGAAAAAGACAGTGTTGATAGAAACCATTCTAATCAGTTTTGGTATAGGTCTACACGCGTTCATGCCACTCGTCATTTATTCCGTGATGGGTAGAAAAGAATCTTATTTTTTACTGGGAGAAAAATGTAGATCTCTTCGACATCGGTGGACAAAATCCGTGAAAAAGGGCGATCAACGATGAGAATCCGAAAAAGTAATCCGATAATCCGGAGTCAATAACTCGTTCTTATTAAGTGTCGTAACACCATACCCAAAGTAATCAGAATAAAGGGAAATATCACAGGAAATCATTAAGACCTTGGAGGAGAGAGCTTTTAACTGCCTCACACACGGGAAATCGAGAACAAACCAAATAAGTTGTGATTGATTTCAGTTTTTTAACTTGTCGGTCGAGAGTGCAGCACGAGTTTTCTGAACCAATTATAAATCTTAGTCAAACACAGCTACAGCAGTCCCCAAACTACGTGTACTTTCGATAACAATCTGAAAAAAAAAGTCTTATTTGGATATTGCCAAGAAAGTTGCACAAATCTCGCGGAACTAGTTCTAGCGCCTTCTCATAAACACAAGTAAAAAGGAGGAGGATAAATGACAGTTTTACACCCTCTGAGAAACTCTGATCACGATTTCGACGACGAGGACTCAACTCTTTTCCATGATTCTAATTATTAAAGCATTCCGTCCAAAAACAAATAATGAAGCAACGAACAAAAAAAAAATAATGATGATAATAATAATAATAAACATTCCAAAATACGAGAATGACTCACCATTCAGATATTTCATACAGCTAAAGTAATCGGGTACACCCCGTTCACAACACTGCATGGGAGTTTTCTTCTCTAGTGAAGTAGCAGCAAAAATACACGCACCATGTTCAGTCAGGAAGCGAGCCATTTCTGTGGCGTTGTTAGCAGCTGCACAGTGAAGTGGAGTCCTGTGCAAAGGGAAAAGAAGACGACCATAAGTAAAATATTTTCAAGAAAAAGTAAAAATCTTTCACGAACGTGATTTAAAGAGAGGATTTGAACTAAAAGATTTGAACATCAGACCTTCCCGCGCTTCAGACACTTCATTTGTCTGTTTTCTTTTTTTTTTAACTTTGAGCTCTTGTTGGCTACTTGGAAGGTTCTTATCTGCTATGACTGGCTGCTGTGATCATTTTGGTTGTTGTTAAACGACACTCAATAAAACTGCGGTTTCACTCTCACAGCGCCATTTTCACCAAGGCCACGAGACTTGCGTTCTATTCCATGTCATCAACGGCGATATAACTTAACTATAAGTTGAAATTTAAGGGTAAACTTAACATCTCCGTACCATCCATGCGAGTCTGGGGAGTTGATATCCACACCGAATTCCACGAGAAATTTAACCACTTCATCGTGACTTGCGCAAACAGCATTGTGAAGGGCTGTGATACCATCATTGTTCGGTTCACTGGGATCATCCACCTGAGAAACATGATAATGAAGCTAGTCAGCTGCCTAACCTCAAAACCTCACATGTTCGATTTCAAATTCTCCCTTCTACTTTCTGTACATTTCCAAGTATATTTTTTAGGAGAATACCATGTTATAACTGACAAGATAAAACCCCATGGGTGATGATTTTGTCTATTCTCCTTACTTGTTTATAGGACAATGTATGGAAATTGTAGGGAGAACTTTCATGTGAATCACTTTTAATGGTTGAAGGCAGCCTAAAGCAACTCATGTTAGACGAAAGAAAAAAAGGGCAGAGGGGAAAAAAAAACGAAAGTTAGAAAGAAAGGGAAATAGAGAGAAAGGAAAAAAAAAAGGAAGGAAGAAAAAATTAATAAAGAAAAAATAAAGAGATACAAATAAAACAAAGAAAGAAGGAGAGAAAAAGGAGATGAGATATTTCAAATCAGTACCTCACGAACGACTAGCTTCACTAGATCCAGTTCTCCCTCAACTGCAGCGTCCAGTAATACAGCATAAGGGTCAAGGCTGACGCGCCTCGGCCTCTTCTTTTTAGAAATCTTCTGAGCAGACGTGGCGTCACTTTCAGTAAACCCGCTGGATAAGTTTTCTGGAGAATTGTTATGTACATCTCTATTCAATAGCGCGAAATTTGAAGTTTCATCGATATTCCGCTTATCTTGCGCGAGTTCTGATACGGAGTTATTCGACTGACTATTAAGTCCTATATCTCCGTTTACAGACAAGGGTGTCACTGTGTTAATATTATTGATATCAATTGGGAAATCTTGAACTGTTACCCTGTCCTTTGTTTCCAGGTGTCTTAAACCTTGATTGGTTCCTGAAAGAGTGTCATTTTTATCATGTGAATCCTTTGGCCTCAGTTCGGCTTTGAACCCATGGATCCCATCATCTGAAGAAGATAACGTGGTTTTAGACAAACGTGCTTGTTCAAGTTGGCTTTTCTGAAAACCAACTTTAGTAACATCGGGAAGATTTGCATTCGGAGAAATTGAAAGTTCGGAAGATAAATCTATCGGTGTGTTTTCATTCGTTTCCTCACTTTCTCCTTTCTGACTTAATCGAAGACTTTCGACATCTGGTCTACCAACTCCGAAGCTAAGTCGACCACTTTCAGGTTTTAAATTACCATTGTCGTGATAAAACGGCCCGATTTCGGGAGGTACTCGGTCTCTTTCGGAGTTAGTTTGTTCATTTTTGGAACTGGGTCGACTACTTTCGACAATAAGCTCTTTACCTTCGAAGATTTTCCTTCTTGATGAGACAAGTTCCGAAGATTTATTATTTTCTTTCCCTTGATCTGATTTACTAATTTTCTCAGGCGAAGAAATTTCTTCCAGTCCTTGTTTCCATTTTTGACTCCGACTCGATAGCTGTATATTGAATGAAGAAACAACTTGTTTGGAATTTAGGCGAGCATCTGTGTTTCCTCGTGTCTTGTTATCAATCTGTGTATTTGTGAGTCCAGTTTCCTTGTCTAAATTTCCATTGTCTCCGAATTCCTTGCGTTCTTGTTCATTAAAAGTGCCACCGAGTAAAGTGTCACCCTCGGATGAAGTAGGAGTCACGCTGTGAAACATAAACCTAGATCGTTTACTCGTCGGAACAGGCGAACGTTGCTCGGGGATGTTCGAATCTCTCGCATTATAATACGAAGCAGACGGCGTTACCGTTATCTTCGTAAGCGAAGACGAGTTGCCACGAATGGATACCGAATTAGAAATCGCAGAACCGAGTTCGGATCGATCGGCAGATGTACTGACGCTACTTTGCAAACCAGCTGACTTCTTCGCGCGGTAAGATATTGGTCGAAATACTAATGGCGGGGTTTGCGCATCATCCACAGGCAAGATATCATTATTTTGTTTTTCATAGAACATTCTTGAGCTATCAGTTTCATCGTTTCGGTTTGAAGTTTTTTCAGATCTTTCCTTTTCGCTTGAGCGTCCAAAATCGTTAATTGACGCCACCGAATCTTCTTTCTCAGCATGGCCATTTGTTTGGATAGAGTTTTGCGATAACCGTTGCAGCGAAGCATGCGATGAATTTTCCATCCTATTTGCCCCTGAAGCATCCATCAAGGCTGTTTCCTTGTTTCGTTTTGACGATAGATCCTTCACGTTTTTTTCTGAATCGCTGTTTTCCATCACAATTTGTTGCGGCAGAGCGCTGTTGACTGAAGTGCCCGTCGAATACCGAAGCCGTGACAACTGTATCTTTCCAGATTTAACCGAAGAATCCGTAGATTTCAGCTCAGTCCGTTTGGAAACGTTTCCTCTATCGCTTCCAATTTGTGCACCCGTAGCTGGTTTTGCACTCCTTGCATTGAATTGTTCAAGTTTGGTCGCTAAAGATTTTACTTCAGGTGGACTGGAAAACTTTTGTTCGACTTTCCTACCATTCATTTGGTTATTCTGAACACTTTCATGTATTGGTTGTTGGGGTTTCATTCTTGATCTTGAAAAATCAAGCACCGTCGGTTGTGCTGAGGTGCCAATATTTTCATTTTTTGTTGAAAACCCTTCTGATTTAACCAGGCGAGCTTGCAATGGAAAATCTCCATCGTCACTCTTAGGCGTTAAAACATCACCAACTGGCTGCTCTGGCTGAGCTCTAGAATTTTCAAACATGTTTGAATACGAAAGTCCTTGGGGTAAGCGTTGAGGCGAAAATGATTCTGAGTATTGGGACTGCGGCTTCTCTGATTGGGGCGCAAAGTTCCCCGTCTTCTTCACAACGCCCGTAATTGCAAAGACTGCAGCTTTGGAAGTAGACGAATTTGATGAAGAAGAGGACGAAGACGCAACCGACAAAGGAGAACTGTGTCCAGAAAAATCTTCTCCATCACTAGGACTCGAACACTCCGTGCCATTGTGTGCTGGTTCAGGTTTTGCTTCTGACGAAGGTGAAACTTCAAGGGCCTCCTCTTTTGAAGTGGAGATCTGTTCCTCCTCGTTTACATGAGAAGGTTTTGACTTCAAGGAAGAATAGTCAAATAAATCACTTCCATTGTAATATCGATTTTCACTAACTGAATGCAAACCGTCGACACCAGCCATTTTAGGAGGTGTTTCAACTCCTTCGGGGTCCACGCGGCGAGCAGGACTAGGAGACCGATTTACCATCTTTGCAGACGTCACGCCTTCTGCTTCAAAGCGTGATTTCAACTCTGTCACGCGTGACGCTCTCGGTGGACCTGGTCCCTGCGTTAGGTCTTCCGTCGACGATTTATTACTTGCGTGACCGTCAGAAACTTCCTCTTCTACTTCAAGCAACGTTTCTAATTTTCTGCCGTTGCGACCGCGCCTGCGAAAGGAACCGGAAGTAGTAGCAGAATTTCCGGTTCCGCTTTTAGACTCGGCGTTGTTCGTTTTATGCTGTCGTTTCGAGAAGGTCCTTAGACTGCTGTAGTCCATCTCCAAAAAGTCTGGTTCGTCTGTGGATGAAGTGACCCCATTCACGACGTGATGGTTCGAAGCAGCGATGTGGTTACCCTGTGATCTTTTATGCCGTAAATTATTGGAGTGCCTGTCAATTTGGGATTCAAGTTCAAACAGTTCTTTGTGTTTTTCCGCGAGGAGCTGTTTTTGGGATTGTATCTGTACGCTTTGCTGATGATTCAATTCGTTCCGCGTCTAAATAAGAAGGAAAAGCTACTATTAGGGTGCAGTTCATTTAAGTACCGTAAAACCAAAAGCAAAAGCAGTCACAACAGCCAATCAGAAGAGAGGGAAATAACACAAAGAACCAATTGAGGAATCAAAGGGAAATCAAGCAAACTTAGAAAAACGCAGAAAAAACGCGCAAAAAACGCGGACTAAACGCGGGCGATCAAGGCGCAAGTGCTTTTTATTTGTCATCTGATTTGTCGAGAGGGTGGTGCAAGTTTTCTACCTTCTGTCCATACTTACCCTGATAATTTTTAAACGGCATTTCAACCCGAAAAAAGCTCGACCTCAATAGTATTGTGTTATTATCATTCAAAATAAGATCATTGTCTTAAAAACGAAAGGCTGCCTCCATCCGATTGAGCGACGGAGCACTAGCATATAGATTGATAGAAAGGGGACTGTAACCAAGTGATGACATAACCATTTGACGTCATCGTTTACGGCCACCCATTTGACGATTGACATTTCATCAATATGGAGACCGTTCTTTGTAAAACTTCCGTCATCAGTTTACGGAATACTCTTTAGCAGAGGTGGAAGGAAATATCGAGGAAGGAAAAACAAGTGTTTTGCAATTTATCTAGTAATAACAGAGCACACTTGCGTCACAATGGTGCACAGCAATTACGTGATATGCGTTTACCATCAATTCCTTTCGAAGTCGTTCTAGTTCCAGCTCTTGGTGCGTTTTCTGTCGACTTGGAGTTGCCTGAGACCATCCCTTTCTTTGTTTATCCAGTTGCCGAGTGAGGCTTTCAACTCTTGCAACTGCTATTGCTAGTTCTTTTTCTTTCTCCATGAAATGGGAACGTACATTTTCCAATTCCTCGGCTGAAATAAGGACGATTTCATCGTTAGTGTTGCTAAGAAGAGAGAGAGAGACAGTTGCTACCTGGGGAAAGTTGTGATAGGTCAATTGGAATTCGTTACAATTCTTGCAACAGGTGAAAAGCGCGGGAAACAATCACTCGAGAAGTTCATTCTTTGCATTTGATCGGCTATTCAGGGATGTCGTTTCGATTGGTTAAGTTGAGATAGTAAATCAGCCACAGCTACTTCTGCGTAACAACGTCGAATAAGCTGATAATGTTTCACAACAGATGCTACTGGTAAAAAAAAAAAAAAAAAAAAAAAAAAAAAACGTGGGGAAAGCCACATGAGGGTTTCTCTCTTTGCATTTCATTGGCTGTTTGAAGGTTTAAATATTCTCATTCTCTCAAACATTAAGTCTAACACAGCTTGACGCGTAAAAAAACCGGGAAAATCCCTTAACTCTATGACTTCTGGGATAGGATGGGTTCTCAACACGACTTTTGTTCCGATTGGCTCATTTTGGGCGAAGGCAAAATCTTGTGATGGAAAGTAACGTTTGATATCTGTAGAGCACTCACAACCAACATGCAAGAATAAGTGTATCAGTTTGCAAGGAGAATAAACTCGCAGATAATAAAAAGGTTAAAATTCCAAACGTACCCAAAGCACCATTGCTTAGTTTATAAGAATCTGTTTGATCCTGCGCATGGCGTAATTCTCTTAGCCGCTGTTCCTGCTCATCGGCTTTAGCCGACAACTGCTGCACAGATGGATTCTGAGGTTTGTTCTGTAATTTCCGTCTCATTTCCATAAACTGAACCTGCTTTGCTTTAAGTTCTTTTTCTTTAGCTGCAATCTCCTGCTGTTGTCTGGCGGCGAATTCTTTCAGTTCACTAATCGATATTCTATTCCCGCCTAAAAGCTGATACGTAGCAAACAAAAAACAAAAACAAAAAAATATATGCCATAACAATCTCTGGACAGGTTTAACCTTTTCACTACCAAGATCACGTCAGTTATTCTCCTTACCATCCGCCATACAATTCTCATGATGTAAGTTTGGAGAATTTGGTATTGGATCAACTTGAATCTTTTTTGATACTATCCTTTATTCTCAACACTTGTCTGCTTGATATTGCATTGATATTGTAAGGAGAAATTATATCTTGGTCTCTTATGGGAGTTCAAGGGTTGATCTGTATCTGTTCCATTCTAAAAGGGCTTCTCTATTTAAAATGCAATGTCAAACAATTTAAAGTTTTTTGTCGGATAAAATTTGATTAAGACAAAAATGAATTTACAAAATGAGTAAATAAGTTGGACAGTATTACTTCAAAAGGCAACAATATTTTCTCTTAAAGACTCTTGGTTTGATTACAAGACTGATAGAGGCATGGAAATTTTTTTTTGCAGAACGTTAGAACTTATAAGTGTATCATTTACAGGAAGCCTAGGGTGGTTTCAGTATTTACATGAGGTCTTACTCAAATTATGGTCTTACGCAAGCAGTGGCCTTAGGGATTCTCTATGTGAGAGTTGATTTCATTAAATAAATTTTCATATATAAGCTTATGCACCTCTTGGCACTGCTCACAACAGTACAAGTTCAGTTTAAGGTTGGGCTGAATTGAAGATGGCTTAGAACACGGTTTTGTTAAACAACTGCTAAACTTTGCTCAAATACCTGACCCTAAGGGTCAAATTAACAATTACTATTATTTTTCCATCAATCTTTTTTTTTCATGGGGATGTCTTTCTTACCACATCTCGTGAAAGTGGTGTTTCCTCTTTAAAACCATTAACCCTTTGACTTGTTGATCCTAAATTTGAAAAAGTAAGACAAAGCTTATGACTTTAAACATACTTTGAATGGCCAAACAGATGTAGAATTATATGTCGAGAAGTTGAATCTACACACAAGGATTGGTTCTTATTTTAATGACCTTTTGGTGGACAGATGCATAGTTAAGGTCACCTTTATGAGTATTTTACTTTAATTTTTATTATATGAAACAAATGGGTTCCATGTTGCCATGGGTCTGTACAGTTACTGCCAGTAATAGATCACAGCAGACATCACATCAAAATGTTATGGGAACATCAGTGACGCACTCTGCTGCACCTCATGTGCCACTTTTCCAAAACACTTCTCAAAAGACTAATATATATAACTGCAGACAGTACTGTTTTGGCATTCAGTGCAGTGCTGATGCTAGGAAGGAGGTGTAAGCATTAAGTTACCCTGAATGATCCCACATTTGTGGTATCTTCCAAGCCATGCCAGAGGACTTGAACTAGATAAACTAGTGAGGATGCACAATTGTGAGACATGACTCCTCCTAAGTAGAGTGCTCAATTTGGACATGAAAGCAAAGCTTTGTAATGCCAAAGAGCTATATCTAACTAATATATATGTAGACATCCATTTTCAAAAACATTGCAATTCGAAAAAAAAAATACCTGAAGCATATACACCTTTTCTTTTCTCATTTAAAAGTGTCTGCTTTAGATGAGAAAACAAAAGGCACATATATTTCATGTATATTTTCAAATTTTTTTATTTAACAATAACAGGGAAAATTGGGCTTAAAAAATATATTTTTTCAAAATATTAAGTCTGGATCACATGCTCCCATATATTAAAATTTAGAGGGTGTATTTACTTCAATATCAGAAGTTTATTCATGAGATAGTGTTTCTGGAATTTAGTTTTTTTTAGTCAGGAAAGCATTCAGAAATAAAACTTTTCATGGAATGTCTGGCTTAGATAATGAAAAGATGAAAACAAAACAAAACAAAAACAAAAAAAAGGAACCTAAAGCACTCAAAGCATTTCATGAAGTAAAATTTAAAAAAAGTACAATATGTGAAGTATCAAGTTTTATTCCCACAATGACAAAAGAGGGTCACAAATATGTAACTGATCTGCAGAACTCCGGGTGAATGATACTCAGGGTAATAAGTTACATATCTTACCATTAACAGCTTGTGAGTAAGATGGTATCTCCTCCCTTGGTCGCAGGTAAAACTTCACATCTTCCAGATCGCTTCCCCATTCAAGTAAAGTACTGAAGATTGACTCACTATCAGGTACAAGACGTTCTGAGGAAGAAATAAAAAGTTGCTTAGATCCTGTCTACAACACACAAATTAAACTTCAAGGTATTATAGCCTTTTTACAGCAGCATAAAAATAGATAGGTTAAAAAAAATTGTTATTGATCACAAATTTTACCTGCAACTTTTCCTTAATTTGAAAAATTGAATATTAGCTGAAGGAGAGGCTGTATTTATTTAAAACAGGGTGATGTGCTAAAATATTACAATATTTCTAAATTTACAAATAAATGCTTTTCCTATTGTTTATCCAATGTGTCAATCCAATTTTAAGCACATTCCTGTATCTTAATTTAATCATTTTCGATTTGGCAACAGATATTAAAAATATTGAGCGTCATCAACTGGTCAAAATTCATGGATTGATAGCTAGTAGTTAGAAAATGAAGATACAATTTCTTTATAAAAAACAATCTACTGGAGACATAAGTACAAAAATAGAAAATTATTCATAAATATACAAATCTAACCAGTGATTATGTATTCATGAAGAGGTATACAAATTGGCAGAGAGCCACATCGCATTTTGTAAAAAAAGCAGAGTGATATTACTGCAAACGGTGCATGAAAGAGAGTAATGTTGCAAAAGTACCGCCATTTCAATTCTCTATGAAAACTACTTCCAAAAAACTGTTACTAGCTTGGTGGAGTTGATTTAAGGTTTATAAAGATATGCATCAATAACACCAAACCTACCACATCCTTGCCACACTTCTATTAGATAGCAATCAGTCTCCTGGATCTGTCGTTGTAACCTTTGCACTATATCTTTGCATTTTGTCACTTGTGTAACAAATATTTCTGCCACTTTCTGCCTTTCATCCAGATAAACCTTGAGTCTCAGCTAGACAGCAAAAAACAGCTTGATAAATACTTGGCATGCAAGGAATGCAAATCTCTAAATTGTGTCAGGAAGAGGGTAATCACAAGAACAAATTTTCAAGTATTGTGGTGAATGTTGTAGTATGTACAATTACAAGAAAAAGTGTTTGTTCTCTAGTCATATATTTCAAGGGCTGGTTTCAGTGCAAAAGATAGTCAATTCTACCATTGTCAAGCTTAAGAATTGCTTAACATAACAAATTAAGAGCAGAGAAAAGCCTGCTGTGAAGAAACATGCCAAAAACAACAGAAAGGATACAGCAAATTAGCATAACTGTCAGGAACTGTAGAGGAATACATTTAATTTAATTACAGAGTGCAACTTTAAATGTTGGCCATGCCATTACTAGGCAAACAACGTCGACAACCGACATTTTTCTTAGGATACTAGCCTCACATAACTGTCATCAAAATGCTACAATGAACGTCATAAAAAATTTATACTTTAAAAGACATGAACCTGCTGTTTCGAATGAACACCTGTGATATATTCTTTCATTAAGAAAAGAAAGGACTTGAAAAACAATGAAAACTAACCCAAAGCAAAGAATTTTGTAAGTGGACTCAAAAGAAATTTCTTGAAATATGGAAAATGCAAAAGTATCCATAAATTTGATTAAACATTACCTTCATGGGCGCTTTACCGACACTTTTACTGCTGCGTAAACTTTCATTAGTACCTTTACGATTGGTCTTAATACACAACATAACTTCTGAGTTGTCTTGTGACAGATAATCTAACAAGTAACTTGTTATAAATGCCAAAAATATTCAGATATTGGCTTTAGCTGGGGCACGATAAATGATGATAAATACAGAGAAACTGTATGTATATAAATAATTTTTTAGGATATTGGTCACTGCATCTGATCAGCTGTAATCAAAGCTGTGATATAGGTTACATTCGTGATGTTGCTTGATTCAAAAAGCGGATCGATTAAATCAATTATAACTTCTTTCAAAATCGTAACATGATTCCAAGTGAAAGTTACATTTTAATGAAAGAATTACTCATTTTAATCAAGTCTCTCGAAAGGCGCCCATAATATCAAAGTCGTCTATGCAACACGGGAATTCGCGGATAGATGCGAAAACTTTCCTAATATTAAATAGGAGTTTGTTGTATTTCGCAACAACTCTTTAGAACACTCCATCAATCCTCTTGGGAAATCGATCATTTGCATTTCACGTCGATCATCTTGGCTTTCCATCGAAAAATTTTAGTGCCGTGTTTTCACGGAATAGCGCCATTTGAGTTGGACCAAATTCATTCAGGCATATCAAAAACAAAGAGCATAAAATATCGTCCAATATTCTTCCGTGATCAAATTTCCGGTGGCGGTTTTCTATTAAAGAACAGTGTAACCTAAAATCCTCTGTGATTGTAAAGAGCCACTCATCGATGTGATAATAATGTGAACAGAAGTTGCAAAGGAACTTTCAATTACAACAAAAAAGAGCGACAAATATTGCACTTGAAATTTAACTCACCCTTCTTTCCGCTCCGGCCATTTTGTTTACAATCCACAGTGCATCGCGACCACAAAGTTAGAGAACGAAACCATTAGGGGTAGGGACGTGAGACTTTTTTTCAAGACCCTTTTCTCACCGGACATATTTTCATCTTCTGTGATATTTAAACACTATAACTTTTGTCCTAAATTAATTTAAAAATTCACTTTGTAAAATAATTCTTGTAAAATTGTTCCCTAAAATTCTCGTTATTATAATCACAGAGAAGTATTTATTTTTTCAATATCCTCTACCCCTCCCTAGTTAGTATAAAACCCACGACTACTTCGCGGGAACTATTCAAAATGGCCACGAAATGTGTTGACGCGACGTTGGAAGCGAGTCTGTAGAAAACATCAAAGCGGTGTCTTTGTCGGCGAACTAACGCGCCAGATGGCTTTAGATCGTGTTGTAGCTCTGGTGGATATGGACTGCTTCTATGTTCAAGTCGAACAAAGACGAAATCCAGAATTGCGAGGCAAACCTTGCGCTGTGGTTCAGTATAAAACATGGAAAGGTGGAGGGTAAGCGAATTTTAAATTTTCTCAATTAAAGATTTCTTTTGATTAAGTATTCCTCGCGTGGTATTTAACCGTGAAATCTGGGAGCCTTTTTGCATCAATACATTGATACATCTGGGCGGCGTTGCGTATTAATTTTTTCGATAGATAAGAAATTTGCCTCGAAGTTTCTCGATCGAATTACATAATATGATATGATAGCTTTGACATTTTTTCCATTAGCCTTAACAATATAACAGTATCAATACACAATATAGTACAGATTGAGGTATTTCGCTACCATTTGTTGTGTCTTTTTTTTTGTGTTTGTTTTTTAAGGATTAGCCTTTTATATTAGAACTGAGACAGCGCTCCTTTTGACCACGTTAAGACGGAGTCTGTATTCTGTGCGTCGACTCTAAAGTGGCGTTGTATTGATCCAATTTAGCCAAAAAAGGGCGATTGTTGGACAGTATGGCTGCTTGGCTAATTCACTTCAATACAACTTATCCTTTGATGAGTTCAATGATCAGCTTTTGTGTAGTGTAGTGTAGTTTTGGCACTAACAACTGAATTGCACACAAGAAGTTATTACAGTTTTTATGCAATAACTGAGATACTACAAGTGACCTGATTGGTCAAAAACATATTGTATAACCCTTTAACTCCCAAGATCTCATTAGTGATTCTCCTTACTGTCTGCCAATACAGGTCTTGTGATGTTAGTTTGAAGAAATTGGTATTGGATCAACTTGCAATCCCCTAATTGATATTTTTCTTCACTCTCATCACTTGTCTGCTTGATAATATATTGATATTGTAATGAGAGATTCTTGGTCACTTATGGTAGTTAAGGGTTGAAGCACCGGTAATCCAAAGGAAAATTGAAGTTTATGGAGTTTTATTAAAACAATAAATGGCACTTTTTGATTAGCAACTAATTTCTCCTATCAGTATCATCCCTAAAACAAACATTGAGGTTATGGGAATAGAGGGAATGATCACCAAGTAAAGAAGCTCAGGATTGTTAAACAAATTCTCCTTGTCAGTACTATAGGAATGTATAGAGAACAGTGTGGAGAAAATGTTTACTGATGTTAGGGTGTAAAGGGCTAAGTAATGCATTTATAAAAAAGAGACACTGTGACAACTCATCATAATTATATGGTTTATTGTTTTTTTTTCCTTTTTTTATAAATTTGTGAATTGTCATCATGTGTACGATTAGTGTTAAATTTGTCTAAGTGTGATCAACCATTTTTTTCGTTTTTCTCTCTGATTATTGTCTCCAGCTTTTTTTGTCCTGAAGGTAGTGTGGGTTCATTCCCAGACTGTAAGGTAGTGCCCTATTGATGGAGTTTCTTTCCATCATTCTACCTATCTGTGTTAAGGACTATGCTTTCAAGGGTGCTTGTACCCAGTTCCTGTAATTTTAACTACACAATACCAGATAGAACAGGAACCGAATAATTAAAAACTTAATTGAGGATTATACAGTGCACCATATCCAAAGTCATCAGTGTACTATCAACATTAAAATATTTCATGAAGGGCAATAGAAATTGATCTTTTATTTAACAATATTGTTATATGATAAGCTGAATAATAAATTCATTTTGATTAGTCCTCTCTTATGATCTATTATAGCACAGATGCATAAATAACAGCACCATTAACAAAATAAACAGCATTTTTATTTTTTAAAACAAATAGATTCCATGTTTCAATGGGTCTGTTTAGCAAATAGATTCCAAGTTGCAGTGTGTCTGTTCAGTAATAGATCACAGATGACGTCAAAATGTGGTGAGAACAAAAAAGTGACACACAAGGCGCAGCCAAGTGTGTCACCGGCTGATGTTCTTACCACATTTTGACATTTTGACATCCTGTGTGATCTTTTACTGAACAGATGCACGGCAACTTGGAATCTATTCGTTTTATATAATAAAGAATTAAAAAAAGTTTTAATGATGATGTCATCTTTACCTCTGTCCTCCAATAGATCATAAGTGAGAACCAATCAGAATGCGTGCGTAACTGAGCTTATTATATAAATGATATAAGATTGCAGGAGATGGAAAAATGTGATCAGAACATCAGTGACACAATCAGCTGCACTTCATGAGTTACACTTTTTGTTTCTTATTGCATTTTTATGTTATCAGTGATCCATTACTGAACAGAGGCACAGCCACACGGAATCTATTTCTTAAATAGCGCTGACACTTACTAACTTCATGACTGTATGTCTATAACAGGATTATAGCTGTTAGCTACGAGGCACGTCATTTTGGAGTGACAAGAAGCATGCGAGGGGATGAGGCTAAAGAGAAGTGTCCTGAGATAAATTTGGTGCGAGTCCCAGAGGCACGTGGGAAAGCCAACTTGACGCATTATCGTGAGGCAGGGGCAGAAGTGATAGCAGTGCTGTCTCGCTTCTGTGACAATTGTGAGAGGGCAAGTGTGGATGAAGCATACCTAGACTTGACTGAAAACGTCAACATGTAAGTCTTGTGTGTGAACGTAAAAAGGCCATCCCAGCGGCTGATCCAATCAAATCTCTTGAATCATAATATCCAGTGTTCCACTCTGTGATAAATGCATGCACATATTGATTTACAGGAGAATGCGCACAATGGGCCTAGATGAAATTGCAAAAAAGTCTGCAGAAACAACATTTCTGGAAGGTTTCATGGCAGATGAACAGGAAGGTAAACATGTAGATACTGATGCTTGGAGAGCTTCTCTCCAAAATGATGGGAACATTAGGAGGCTGGCAGTTGGTGCAATTATTGTATCAGAAATGAGGAAAGCTGTGCTAAAAGAGACACAATTCACATGCTCAGCAGGGATTGCTCATAATAAGGTTAGAGGCTTCTATAAACAAATGTTTTTTTGGTTACATGATCCCTTCTTCTGTAGGATATCAAGAATTGCTGAACAAAACAATATAAAACAAACAGAGAAATTGAATTTACCTCAAAAATGAGCTATTCTCTGCTAAGTTCCAACCTAAAATAGATTTTCCAATTTTATTTCTGAATTCAGAACACACAACCCTTTGCTTCAACCCTTTTGACAAGTGACCAAGACATAATTTCCCCTTACAATATCAATACTATATCAACCAAAGTAGTAATGAGAATAAAACAAAATGTCAATTAGGGAATTATTTATTGACCAGATACCAAATTCTCTCAGAACAAACATCACAAGAATTGATTACCTGGCAGACAGTGCGGAGAATTACTAATGAGATCTGGTAGTGAAAGGGTATCCTAAAAGCATAGAGATATTGGAGAATTCTATTAATAGCATCTACACAGAATATTTTGGCCATATTTTGATTGTCTGGGGTATATATTTTTTTAAGACATGGAAGATATTCTACTGTTTCTTTACAGTTTTCCTTGCTTCTTTTTTTCTTAACCCTTTTCACCCTAGCATCAGCATGCATATTCTCCATACTGCTCTCTATACTTTTCTGATGGTTCTGAAAAGGAGAATTAGCCAAACAATCAGCAGTTCATGAGTGGAAAATCATTTTCATTGTACTCTTAACCTTGCTATTTGATTCAGAGGTGATACTGTGAGGAGGAAATAGATTCTTTATGACTCTCAGAAAATTGATTTGCTTCTTTTGTTGACCTGTGGATTGTTATTTAACATCAACTGCTATCAACAATCAATGTTGTTTTTTTCATTATCAGATGCTGGCAAAGTTATGTGGTGGGCGTCACAAACCAGATAAACAGACTCTTTTACCCCAGAGTGCAGTGCCAAAGTTGTATGAAACAGTTCCCATAAAAAAAGTGTAAGAATTGAAATTCTTTCATATGCTAGATGTGAATTTAGTCATTGTTATTTGAGTTGAAATGTACATGTAGTGTAACAAATTCAGGGAGAAGAATTCCTATCCTTTGTAGTTGTAAATGGGAGGTGGGTACTTTTTGCTCACACTAGGATGTGAATGGTAACTCCCCCAGATCTTAAAACTCACACTGCACCCTTGTATCAGCCCCTCACATAAATTCCCTTTTCCTGCTTGCTGCAGACCACTCAGCCAACAACCTCTGGTGTATCTGAGTTGTAGCATCATATGAAGGGGCGCTTGAAATAATACATAGGTTAATTTGGTGAGAACTTTTTATTTCTTCTTCTGTGTCTGGCATAAGGGATGAAATGACAATTCAGAAGCAGAATGTAGCCATTAAGTCACTTCAGGCTTTTCTCTATACAATTCTTCAGCGCCCAGTCGTTCGAAGGCCGATCAGGGCTAACCCAGTGTTAAATCTTAATCCAGGTCTCTTTATTTCTTTGTTCAAAAGTCTTTTAGGTTAAAGTTTCCCCATTCCTTTCTAGGCCATTCAATGATCAAGTTGCAAGCAAAAATATTTGAACTGAGTTTTCTTTTAAAGCCTTCAGAACTGCAATCAAATTTCACACTAACCTTGGCTTATCTTAACCCAGCTTTGAACAACCTAGGCCAGGGCTCTTAATAAGTGCTGTAGCCTGTTATACTTGTTATGGCTGGGCTCATTTGATGTTAAAAATCACAATGTTGATTGCAGTGTTACACTTGGGCAAGGTTTAGACTGCTGTGGGTGAAATCTCCAATGTAACAGCTTCTTCAAAATTTATTGACAGCCTTCCTCATTCATTTAAAATCCTTAGCATCTTGTTGAGCATGGGGGCTTCCCTCACAGGATTTTAAGTTGAAATTTTAAATGATATGGTAGTCACTCCTAGGTGATAAAGACTGTTTTTAGATATTGCCATTGAGTTTTTTCAAAGATGACAATACATAATGTAATTCTGAGGGAGATTCCCTCTATTTGTGAGAAGCATTTTCAAGGAGTTCTCTGTTCTCAATGAAGAATTCCATTTTGTTGCATTAGTAGTTAACACAGCAATTAATGTTTTCAAATTAGGAATTTTGTTTTGTGTCTTTGTAGAAGACCTTTTGAAGTGTCAATTTAGTCACTATGTTGTGAAACAGTCATACATTTTCGATTAATGATAGCGATTTATTGAATTTATTTGGTGCATTTGTAGCCGTAATATGGGAGGCAAACTTGGCTTGGAAGTGCGCTCAAATTTACATGCAGAAAAGATGAGTGATTTGGCCAACTACTCCCTTAGTGAGTTACAGGGTCGTTTTGGAGATAAGACAGGGTAAATATTTTTGCCTAATACATGTACATGTAAAAAAACGAAAACAAATGAAATGCAACTTAACATGTTACAAAGTGGGTAAGTTTCTACAGAAACTGTGGTGCTGTGTCGGTGGGAGAGTATAACAACTGAGTTGGTAACGTAAATTGGCCACCGTAAGGAGTTTCGAAGCTGACGTTTCGAGCGTTTGCCCTTCGTTAGAGCGAATGGAGGAATTGTGGTTTGTGTGCGTTTGTTGATATGTAGAAAATGGAGCTACACTATTGGTGGGAATATAGTGACGAGAAAACAAGAATAAATTAGCGCTCGTTGATACCGTGGGGATTAAGAGTGGATTAAGAAGCAGCATATGGCAGTTTGCGGCTTTTCCCTACATCTAGGCAGTCCGGAAGGCTGCAAAACTTTAGAACAAAAATTTATCTTTCAAATCGGCACTCTTAACACCACGGCATCAAACAAGGTTGTCGTAAAAATTTAAGACTTTTCTTTCCTTTCTGCTTTCTCATTTGTCACTTGCGTTATTGAAGAACGCCCCTTAATTTTTTTTTTGATTGCTAGGGAGTGGCTGTATGAAATAAGTCGTGGAATAGATCACGAACCTGTTAGGCCTCGACAGCTGCCGAAGTCTATCGGCTGCGGCAAAAATTTCCCCGGAAAGGGGAAGCTTTCAACAGGAGAAAAGGTAATTTATTAATTCTAAGAAAACGTTTTTGAAAACCAGTGATTCATTAGTAATGATAAATTTACAAATTTCAACAATCTGAGTAGCTTGCAGGGTACGAATTGGTTACCAGCTGAAAAGTGACTGTTGGTAACCAGGCCTTAAACATGAGATATGTTAGAGGTTTCATCTGATTTTTCTTTCGTTTTAGGTAAAATACTGGTTGGATCAGCTGGCTGGTGAACTCCACGAGCGTCTCACAAAAGAATCAGAATTGGTAAATAAAAAATATTATTCTTCATATCGTTGGACCCAACATTAGTTAAATAAACAAAGTTGTTTTAAACAATTTCAGTTGATTGTTGATCGTCATCCGCGTTTACATTGACTTTGTTTTGCTTTGCTCTTTAATTTGTTTAAAAACTTACAAACCGTGCGATTCAAAATTGAAAAACCAATCGCGGTTTGATCTCCTGCGATTTACGTGCCTCAAGCAGTTGGCTTTGCGTTCGCTTTGGCTCGTGGTGATATTGCCTTTGTTCGGATTGGACAACGTGTTATCTTTTGTCATGGTTTACACGGAGCGGTTGGTTTTATCGTTGCATTTTACTGGTTCTCGAGAGTGGAGCGAATTTTTCGGACAAATCTCGAAGCAGTGTGAAGCAAAATCAAAGCAATCCTCTTTCTCTTGTGAGTTATTTGAAAATTGCAAAGGATATTCTGAGCATAAGAGTTGCAAACCTAAAATTTTTAGTTAGGTCTCCTATCATCTTGCTCACGCTTTAAATTTTATTCATCATTTTCCCAACAGAATAATCGGGAGGCCAAGTTATTGGGTGTATGCTTCAAGACTGAGAATAACTCCTCCGCTACTCGTTCTTGCCACATGAAAAATTCAACTGCTGATCAAATTGCAAAGGACCTTTATAATATGCTGTTGCTATTCAACACTTTAAAGGAAAACAAAACTGATGCATGGTAAGTAAAAAATTAAATCATGCTGTTTATTTATTTCTTAACCATTTTGCGAACTGTCAATAGTTATCAGGGGAAGGGGTGGGTAAGGATCAGATGGTTTTCAGGGGGAACGGAGCGGGGGAATCAGTTGTCGCCAAGAGAGTATAAAGTGGAATTATCGAAAATTTACCGCTAATGGGGTGGGGTGGGGTGGGGTGGGGTGGGGTGGGGATCACGTCAATTTTATCGTGACATTTTACTTTTAAGAGCCAATGAGAACTCGAAAAAGCGCTGGAAAACGCAGGCGTGATATGTGATTGGTTGAGAGGGTGGCGCGAGTTTTCTAGACCAATCACAGATCGAAGTTAAGCAAAATCGATGCAATGTCGCAATACGTTCGATATTCAATTTAAACTTGCTCGAAACAAGCAATCAAAATCAGAGTCTCCACACGAAGTGTTTGGCTTGATGGAAGTATCTTAAACTCTTTAGGTATCCAGCTATTGTCACCTTAAACGTGTCAGCCAGCAAATTTGAAGAAATAAGTGATCATAACAGTACGCCGTCAATAAGCTCATTTTTCAGTAAGAAAAACAAGTTGGAAGAAGCGGAAAATTCAGCGGACAACGTCATCTCTGAAAACGTGGAGGACGAGTATTTATCTGGTGTGAGTTTAGATGGAAACAAGGGATGTGATGGAACTTCTGTTTCTGGCAGTGTGGTTAGCCAGAGCCAGCGCGGGGAAAATTCGTGTTACGGAATTCGGAGATATGATAATAAAGAAGACAAAGATAATGAGAAAAAAGTGGATGAATCAAAGCTTAGTGGTAGTAGCCTATCAAAAAAGAAAGGCATAGAGGTGTTTTTATCAGGAAAGAATATATGTGAAGAAAAGCAGCAAAATAGTGAGAGACGATCTTGCAATCCCTACCTAGGTTGCCAGATCGATTCTTCGGTGTTAGAATCTTTACCACAAGAAATTCGGCAAGAGATTGAACGGTCACTGTTGAAAAACAATCAGCAAGATGAAAAGAGGAGAGGAAATCCTTCATTCTCTGATTCAAGGGTGTCCACCAATGAAGTACAAGGAAGAAAAACATCAAAGAATGTCGCGATTGCTGGTGGGTCCGCCACTGGTGGGACCCGCGCGAATCTTTGTAACCAAGTAGACTGGGACAAAACAGATTTGTGCAAATGCGAGAAATGTGGGGAAACGTTTCCAGAATGCATCATGCCGGAACATTTAGACTATCATTTTGCGTTAGAGTTGCAAAATGGAGAAAGCAACTCTTCCGTGACTTCAAATTTAGGTAGCTCGACAAACGAGCCTCCGAAGAAAAAGCAACGCATTACAATTCAGTCTTTTTTCACGTCTAAATAGTTTAAGTGAGCGCTTTTCCTCGGAGGACTCAGGTCCAAGTTTGTTCAGTCTCTTTCGCAGGCGTAGGCGTTGGTTGGTCTTGCCACGCAACGGGCGTTGCGTGACGACACTTAACATTTGCTGCGAAGTAGACTGCAGAAAGATTGAACCCAAATGTTTGACTATGCCTGTTGTTTTGTTTTGTTTTTATTTTCCACGACTGTAGTGTTTGTAGTAGACTATCATTTCTAGGTTTCTTTTGTTTGAATTTAATTATTTATTGACACTTAATAAAGAAGAACCGAAATATTGCTACATAGCACCGGGATAAACAAAAGAAAGTATCTGCTGTTTATTTTGTCATTCTTACCTTTTTCTGTTTTGTTTGGCAATTACTATTATTATAGTTGTTCGTTTTTGTGTTGCATCCTTACGATGCCCTATGAAGGAAACTTTTGGAAGCTAAATTCTGTCCAGTTTGTGTGTTACCCCTTCGTTAACAGTGGAAATAAACCCTCGCTTTATTTTTTCTACGTGTTCACCCCTCATTTAGGAAATATTGAGGCTAGTTTCTCCTCCTCCTGCTTCCTCCTTCCACCACCCCATGCCACCCCCCTCCCCCACCCGCTGGGAAATAAAAAACGTGAAATACTGATTGGCGTGTCTCTGGTAAACTATACTCAGATAACAGCGAAAACAAAGTAATCACTTTTTGCTGAGCACAAAATAACTTTATTTTACCCTACTTTAACTTGGCTTTATCCTACGTTTGTTTTCCAACTAACTGCACGTACATTTTTTATAAAGTGTCATCTATGTGTTTTGCTGTTGTACAAAGCTTATTCCTACCAACTCAACTAAACCCTATTTATGTACAAAAACCTTAGAAATCACTCTGTATTGTTTTAACGTCACACTGCACGTACATTTTTTACAAAGGTTCATCTGTGTCTTGTTGTTGTACAAAGCTTATTCCTTACCAACTCAACTAAACCTTTTAAATGTACATAAACCTTAGTAATCACTCTCTATTGTTTTAACGACACGCGTATTGATTAATTAATGACTGTAAGCTACTGTCTACAATAATGAATGTGGAAAAGGGAGGTATGTGGTATTTGAGCAGATTCTTGCTAATTTAAAAATAATTATCTAAAGTGAGTCATCTTTCATCATTCAAGACCATTTTAAGGTTTGTTAGTGGAAAATGTCGTTCAAATCTCCTCCTGGAAGATAATCATATATATACTTTTTTTACCTTGCTCGCGAGTCAATCGCGATGAATGCTTAACAAACGTAGGAGAACTATCTGATTTACGTAAGTAAAATGAGAGCAACAGCCTTGACAAAAGTTGCACGGAAAATATCATTAATCTGAAGTAAATCTTTCAGCGAAATTTGTACCAAACTCGTTGGTTGCTTATCTCAAAGGGATTTGAATGTGAATCAAACTGGGTTTAGTATTTGATCAAGATAAACAGCGCATCACACCCAGGATGTGTTAGTTGCTTCTGCCCATTGGTTATCAGAGTGCTCTAATTTCAATGAAGCATCATAAATAAGGAATCAAAGTCGTCATTGAAGCTGTCCAGAAGAAAGGTTAATATTTTGAAAAGCCAGTGAGAACTCGATGTGGAAAACGTTAGTGGTCAAACAGTTGGTTTTGTTGGTGGAGAGAATGGTTTGATTTCTCGCAACCATTCATAGAGCAATTTTTTTCTTTTTTTTTTTTTTAGGAAGGATTATCAATTTACAGTGAAAAATGGAAACATCACACTCGTACACACACAAACACACCCACACAAAGAAATGAAAACCATGGCCTCGAACAGAAACCCGCCATTTCTTGCACATGCAATTTTTTTGTAACGACGCGTGATACGAAACAAGGGAATGTCCTTAATGATTACTCGATTTGAATATTTGCAATCCGTGGCAATTTTCTCCGTCCTTAGCCGTCTTGCCCAACTAATATTTTCCACTTTCAGTTTGAAGCTAGCTTTGCACGTCAGAAAATAGTTACGTAAAACATCGTGTTGTTACTCTCTTGAATAGGAAGCTATAGGGGTCACACTAGCTCTGTCGTATCTAAAAAAGCTCAGATGATTATATCTCAGATATAGTGAGTTCACCATTGTGTGGGGACGCAGTGGAAATCCTTAGCCATTCATGTTCCATCCCAGCCGAGCACATCGATTTTTTCTGCAGCTTCCAATATTTGATGATTTGTCTGATGTGCTTCTCCCTCAATTTCATCTTAACTGCCAGCACGCGCTGGTTAAACTCTTCCACTAGGGTCTGCATTTCTTCTTGAAGCTTTGCTTTATGGCTCTCTTCGAAGAAAAAGTAGTGATTTTAATTGCTAGTTTTGTTGCTTCAGATGAGCCTATTTTTCATTCTTTTCGGTTAAGGGACCAATACTTTTTTTATCGCATGGAGCGGGGAGGGGGGGGGGGGGGTGAGACAGAGATTTTCGGACAGGGTCACATGGTCTTCAGAGGGAATGGGGAGGGGAATCAGTCGTCGTCAACAGAGTATAAAGGGGGAGTATAGAAAATAGACTGCCACCTAACCGTCCATGAGGGGATGGGGAAGGGGGGGTCATAAGATTATAAGAGAGCCATATATCAGGTAAATTTTATCGCGACACATATAAAATCCTCTGACTCCCCCAGAGATAAATAATGACCAGTCTGTTACATTTGTTTGTTTGTTTTGTGGTAAACGAGGACGACTTTCTTCAGTTTACTTTGCGACATGCAAAGCGAAATCCCTTTTGGTGTTCCGAAAAATATTGAAAATTAAAGTTTAAAATTAAGAGTTGCCTTTAAGGGCAGAAGAAGATATCGTTATCCTTACTTTTTTGGTGAACTTTTCGCCTTGCTCTTATACGACGAATGCACTCGTATATGAGCGACAGGACAAGGGCAATTCCTAACGACACGCATGCGTATTTCAATGCCTTTAGGAAGGTGGGAGAACCACTGTCCAGTAGACCGCCTGATGCCTCTTCTTCGGGCGTTTCCTTGGCGCCAGAAGTCTGGAGTGAAACATAATAAAACATGTTTAAAATGGAACCTGGATTAAGCTTGCACTAAGATAAATTGCTCTCCCTTCCACTGTATGAAGGGATAGGGTGTTTTCTCAATACAGAGTACGCTTGAAAGAAACCTCCAGTTTGCAAAAAAAGAAAAAGAAAAAAAAGGTTGCGAAACTATCAAAAATAATCTTTTAAAATTGGCCTGAAGGGGAATGAAGTATTTCATGCTAAAAAAAACATTGAAAAAGACATCGTCATCGTTATCGTTGTCATCGTTGTTATTATTACTGTTGAGTCGGTTCGGAGCAAACATAAATTCTAGTAAAACGTTGGGTGAAATGAAAGGTGTGGCTATACCACACGCGACAAGGGGCAGTTCTTATGAGTGATTTCCTATCTCGGTTGAAATATCGCCTTTTAGGGACTATTCTACGCTTTTCAATATTTTATTTACCTTCGGATGTATTATGCTAAGTATGTTTACCATAAAATGATTCTCCTGGAATTTCCCACCCTTACCTTATATCAAACTACAACAATTAACCCTTTAACCCCTAAGGCTGACTAACATCTAATTTCTCCTTACAAGATCACCCCTGAATCATGCAGTAAGGTTATGAGAACAAAGAAAATTATCAGCACCAAAAGAAGCTGTTGATTGTTACACAAATTCTCCTTGTCAGCACCATAAGAAATGTATGGGGAAAAGTATGGAGGATACCTGTACTTATATTAGGGTGTAAGGAGTTAAACTAACAGACTCAATGTTGCCGGGTGTTTGTTCAGTGTTGCATCACAGATGACGTTAAAAAGCGGGAAAAAAAAGTTTCACACGAGGCGCAGCTGAGTGTCAATGATGTCGTTATCACATCTTGACGTTTTTTCTGATCAACAACGGAACAGACCTATGGTACCATGGAATCCAATTGTTTTAAAACATTGTTAATAGTGGCGTCATAAGCAAGAACCAGTCAAACTGCGTCCATAACCCTTTACACCCTAACGTCAGTATAAATTTTCTCCATACTGTTCTCTATACATTTCCTATGTTACTGACAAAGAGAATTTGTTTAACAATCAAGAGCTTCTTTAGTGGGTGATCATTTCCTTTGTTCTCATGACTTCAATCTTTGTTTTAGGGGTGATACTGATTGGAGAAAATAGTAACCAATCACTCCAAGGGGTTGAAGGGATAATTTAGTTTATCAAGTAAAAAGGGATGAACCGCAACTCAAAGAGCTTTGCTTCGATTCTTATGCGACTATCTCTTGCTCACCTCTATCGGCTTCGCTTTTCTTTTGATCATCTCGAAAATCTCCGCTCTGTGAGAGGTTAAGTAGCGCTCGAAACACTTGCCAAGTTGGGTCACTTTAGGACTGAGTACCACGCCGTATGCGGTCTTGTAGTCAAGGATCTCATTGACTTGTAGCCCGGGGCGATTGAAGAGATCGCTTCGCAAGCCCGCAGAATAAGTATCCACCAGAATCCCTTCGACTTCTCTGTTCAAAAGTGCCTCCGTTATGTCATCGACACCTTTATATTCTTTCCCTTCAAAGTGAAACAAAAACATATGGTGTTTAGTTATTTGGTGAAGGGGTCGGAAAGGGAGTGCTTTGTCGTGGGGGGAGGGGGGGTAAATGCAATATTTTAATGAACAGGGCGGTTCTCTAGTCTCGTATGTTGAAGAGAAAGGAAACAATACTCATGCTACATGGTGCTTCGTAACTCTTTGTGGCCTCAGATCAGGTGTCTTGTGTTTTGTTATAAAAAAAAAAACTGTTATTTTATTTACGCTCACGTTTGATCAAAACTAAACTTGAATGATTTTTTAATTTATTTTTTACGATGTTAGGGCCCAATACGTAGAAAGTTGTTTTGAAATTTCTCCGCAAAAAAGACAAGTTCTCCTGTAATGGAACACGTCGAAATTATTTGCCGAAATTTCCACTTTCGAACTCTACAATCCGATTCAATCTTTTTCTTACGTTACAATTTTGTCGCAACATAATTTTTCTGAATCTATTCTTAGCTTATTCTTACTCCTACGTAAATTAAGTAAGTTGGAAAGTTTACGAAGAACAGCCAAGTAAGTAAGATTGGTGAAAACTTGGTAGCTAAACACATGGCGCGCTGGACTCTGGGTTGAAAGGTTCGTGTTTGTGACCTGTTCGGATCATTGTGGTGCCTCTTTCCACACTGAAGTGCAAATACATACCAGCGAACCGTCAGGGAAGGCCAATGAACTTTCGAAGGGGGGGTGGGAGAGGGGGGGGGGGCTGCGATGAACCGGTTACCCATCCCATATCACGGTCTACATTTTATCCGATATGTATAGTTATTTAACTTTGTGATAAGGTACCTGGATCAATCTTAGCATTTCGTCTCGTTGCCACGTTATATTCGGGAGAATTGAACTCAGCTGCGACCTGAAGAAGATTAATACCATGATTCGTTAACTTTGTTTTTTATAGGGATGGTATCCTAGTGGAACTATAGAATAACAATAGGTATCCGTTTTGCACTGTGTTTACTTTACTTTATTTCGCTTTGTGATCGGTCTAGAAAAGTCCTGCCAACCTCCCAGTGAAATGAAGGCAGACTCAAACAAATCATCACTCAGTTACTTTGATTATTGAGTAACGTAACAAGAAGACCAAAATTATCAGAATGGCCAATAGGGAGAGAGGAAAATGTTAACGGCCGATGACAACTTAAAGTTAGACCATGTGACTGGTTGAAGGGCGGGAAAATGCCGTTGACCAAGTTGTCATTGGTTTTGGTTGGATTAGAGGATTATGCGATTTTTTTAAAAATCAATCTTAGAGCATAATGATGCAAAATATCTAGTCACTGGCAGGAGCCCATTACTTGGCTCCTGTCAGTGTTTTCTATGGTCTCCTAATTAAGAATCTGTTGAGACTAGTGGTTCAGGCTTTCGACGCGCAGCTGAAATTTCCTTATTTTATTTTACGAACTACCTTTCCTGCTCTCCTCAGAGTTGCGAACGGCAGAGAAAAAGTTATACTAAAAAACGATGAGATGCTCGAACGAATCTTTATCAGCAACCTTTTCAGTTACGATAGGAAGCTGTATGTATCGGTGCGTTCTACATAAAAGGTTTGTCAAGAATGGGAAAGTCGCTGATTACCTTACTTCCGTACAGCTTTATTTTACTCTGCAGAGTAATTGATGTGAGTGCTGTGGTGATCATTGCCATGGTTAGGGAAATGATGACTAGTCCAGTAAGTGTCCAAAGCATAGCAAAAGACCGTCCCTTGTGGCTCAGAGGGGCGCGGTCGCCATACCTAAGGAATTCAAGGAAAACCATTGCCATTACATTTAATTCTCTGCGCTAATTGGATTAATATTCTCTCCCCCCCCTCCCCCTTAGCCTTTTTTGTTCCCTCTTAGTTTATCATTGCATCTAGTAATAACATTTTTTGCCATCAAGTCGACCTCTCCTTCTATTTTATGGCACTTTTACTCGTTTATAAAGAGAAATGACAGAAAATTTTTGGCAAAGCCCCGTCGGTAATGAAATTGCTCGTTCATCGTTAGTTAATAAACTCGTGCAAGTAAATTCCAATAATTGGCTCGCTAAGTGCGTTAACCAGTAAATATACGCATGATTTCCCTAATATATATATATATATATATATATATATATATATATATATATATATATATATATAATATATATATATATATATATATATATATATAAATGATCAGCATTTGCAAATTCCTTCCTACAAATTTGGGTGCAGTTGCTCAGAAGTAGGATCATGATGGCGCCAATCCGAGATTTTAAAAAGTTTCATTTTGGATTCCTCCTCTATTTAACAAATAGAGAAGCCTTGACTGTGCTCTGTTCCGTTGTAAAGCTAGTGGGAAGCGGCTAGAGCACGAAAAAAGTGTAGGGAGAAACACGAGACGTAATAGAATGTTTCTCCATGCTTTGCCCAACTGGGCACCCTTCGCCCAACTGGGCCCAGGACTTTAACTCACCCAAGTGTTGTCATGGAAACGAACGACCACCAAATTCCTTCCCAGGTCCCAAGAAGAAACGAGGGTGGAAAATCTTGTGGATTATGTCTTCTTTCCTAATGGATGTATGACAGAAAGCAAATCACTTTACGTAATGAACGGAATGATACCTGTACGCTCGATAACTAAGATAAAGATTGAAAAGTTTGCTACAATTTTTAATTACTGGACGCATGATGAAGTTTTCTACAGGTCAAACCGTACTTACCCCAAACCACTGAATCCAAGATAGAGGAAACAAATTGTGAAAAAAACTATTTTTTTGAACCCACCGAAACAATAGTTTACGCACCGGAGCTGTACTGGGTAACAATGCACATAACTGGATTATCGGATTATCCCAAATGTCGGTTCAATCTTTTAACACCTGTAAATGTTTTTTTTTCTATGTTTAACAATACCCTACGCCCTCCCCGGCACCGGATAGTGATGATTTCCTTGATAACCGTAATTTGGTCCCGTCACGCAACACGTCAGCTTCCTCTGAGAGAGTGTTCCATAACAAAACACTGTTAGAAAACGTGAAGAGTTAGCTTTAAATTTTACTCACCAAACACCATATCATGACACCGGCGATGTAAGCTAAAACTATTGGCAAACTCATAACAGGTAAACAAAGAAGCACTGATTGGTACATAGTGTTCTGGTTTTGCGTCGCGTCTGGGTAAACAATAAAAGCAACACCAGCGGACTCGATGATTGGCGCAAAGCCGTAGCCTCCTTTATAACTGTCTTGTTCTTTGTAACCAGAAACAGGGAAAGTAAAATCAGTGGTTTCGTCCAAATTTTGTAGGAGATCCATGTAAGAATGGCGCTCCGATGTGTTCGATCTGCCGTTGCGTTTGAAGTCAAGTTTTACCTCTCCGTAACTCTGGCATTTTCCGCAACATTCCCGGACCATGGAACGAAGAACTACCGGAATGATCTCACCAGGTTCATTGTCTTCTGTGAAATTAACATAGGGTTCGTATCGCCTCCAACTTGTCGTGAAATTTTGTTCGCAGTGACAAGTTTCTGAGTGGAAAAAGGAACAAAGGGAAGAAAATTAAGGGGGGCTGTTGGCGCTAACGGTGGACTTTTTGTAGTAACAGTGTGATTGCACTTAAAGAAGAACGGTTCACGGTGAATCGTTTAAGTTTGAGTTTCGTGTTATATAAATTAAATGCTTTCAGCGTTTTGAGAATGAAACGAGTGATCAAATGGCTCGAAAACTGTGTTCGGACGTGATCACAAACCAGTCCTTTCTGATTTGTTTCCTTGTAGTTTTATTTGTGATGTTTTGAAAATAATAATACTTAACGCCCTTATCATGAGTGGTATTGATATTCTGTAAACGTGTTATATGAAAATGCGCCCTTTTTCAGCCAATCAGAAGTGCATAATTTTTTCATGTACATTATTAGAGGGTTAAGACCAGCTATTATCGAATAACTTTCGAGAAACGAGCCCCTGGAGATAGTGGAAGAGAAAAGCGCTACGTAGTTGATGTCTCAACGCTTAAATCATCATAATTTTATCTTTATTTTTTATTTTATACCCTGCATGCTTGAGCATGAGTAAAAGAAGGGTGACAATCAATTTCTTACCTCCATATGAAGCTGACGTTCTGGGGCCCAGTCCTTTCCTCGTCCTGGCAGCGACGGTAATCTCGTACTCAGAATAAGGGTCGAGATTCTCTAAAGTCAACGAATTATTTTTATCTGTAGAGACGGACCTAACAGGTTCAAAATCTATTGGTACACCTCCAATCTTCACTCGCTGATACGTCACTTGATAATCAACTAAGTCCCCGTTCATGTACTCTTCGGGGACTGGTTTCCAGGTTACTTTGATTTCGTGTGGGGAGACTGAGTTGATAGCAGTTAGGTTTATAGGAGCTGCACTGGGAACTAATGAGAAAAAAGATTTGGTCAGGATGTAGAAATTCTTTCAATCTTGTTGTCTGAGCAGCACTTTATGAGCATCGTCCAGAAAATGATAGATGGTAAGATATGTTTATCCTTATCATTTATTTACTCGTTTACGAATGCCGGTTTATGAAATATGGAAGAATAAATTAAAGAATCCTCATATCAATTAAGTTTTTACGAGAAATCCTTTTAACTGAATGCTATAAAAACTACGTTTAAGGCATTAATAATTTCTAAGTACATCGTTACCCATTTCTCCATTACCAGTTTTGCGTTTCTCGTTTTTCGTTTCTCGTTTTTCTTTTTTCGTTTCTCGTTTCTCGTTTCTCGCTTCTCGTTTCTCGCTTCCTATTTCTCGTTTCTCGTTTCTCAATCCCCGTCCTTTTCTTTGTCCTTCAAGAGCATCGAGCAGAAAATGGCCACACCTATATATTAATTTTTATGCTATTTGCCAATTTAGTTGTTAATTTACCGTGATGATTCGATTTAGCGCTCTCCTTCCAATAGGCGCCCCCTCTCTGATAAGGGCCCTCCCCTCGAGTTTGTTTTCGTTAATAAGCGCGCCTATTCTAATAAGCGCCCCTATTCTGACAATCACTCCTATTGAGTAAGCACCCTCATTCCAATAAGCGCCCCTATTCCAACAACGCCCCAATTCTGTTTCAGTACTATTATTGTTAGAGTGCATGAACGTTGAGGTCAACCGTGTTCTATCCTCCTTTAACAAAAAGTGGTCCTTGTCTCGGTCTCTCAACTATCGTGTCGCCGTAGGTGCACAGATCCATCAAACGAAATATTCCGTCTTAAAATATTGCGACGATTTCTTGGCTATTGGTTCTAGCAAGGGAAGGATCCAGGGACGACAAGTCTGTTTTCCAGTCTAGGTGGTCCGTAGTTAACTGAACATCAAAGGTTTGTTTCACATTCTGCTGTTTCTCGAAAAAGAAATAAGTGGGCTGTCCAACTAATCGCCCTGTCCCAATATGCGCCCTGTTTCGAGTAAGCGTCCTCCCTTGAGGTACTAAAAGAAATTAGGCGCCCCGAGCACTAAATTGAATCATTAGGGTATTTGAAATTACGGTTAGGTATGGGGATATGTACAATGTGTTCAAAATACTAATTTTAACTGTATGCCACAAGTCCTTCGTTTCCCGTTTTTCGTCCCCTACTCCCCATCACTGAACCCCCGAAGCCCCGTTCTCTATTTTACATTGGGTGTTGGGTTCTGTTTTCCCTATGTCCCAAATTTCCTATTCCATATTCTCAATCTTTTCCTTTCCATCATTCGAATTCGAGTTCCCAGATTTCCTTGCTTCCCTTTCTCCACATTTCCACCGTTTTTCTGTCTCTCCCCTCTCGTCCTCTGTCCCCTGTCCCTTGTCCCGAGTTACCGTTCCCCATTCTAACATTTAATCTACGGACTTACAATCATCACTCGTCTTGAATGTTTTATTGGATAGCGGGCCGATTCCTGCTTTGGTATACGCGGCCATCTTAATCGTGTAAGTCGTAAATTTTCTCAGCGATTTGAGAATATGAGAAGTGAAGTTCTCATTTGCTAGGTTTTCTGTCGGAACTGCAGTTTTGTTTTCGTCCTCAGGGTGGTACTCTATGCGGTAACCCTTTATTATGCCGTTGCGGAAACGTTCGGGAATTGGTTTCCAAGTGATGGAGACTGAAGAAGATTCCAGGATTTCCACTTCGACTTCTGGTGCTTCTTCAGGCACTGAGTGAATACAAAAAAAAGTCAAGTCATCGAAACGTGTTTAATTGACGTTAAGTTAACACTAAAACTTAAAAAAAAAAAAAAAAAAAAAAAAACAGGTTAGGGGTATTTCGAAACTTTGGCTTCGTGTCAATCAAAGGTAGACATTTCTGGGCCCTTAACCACTTAACTCTCAAGATCTGATTGTCAATTCTCCCCTCTAGCTGCTCTACATTTCCTTACAAAGTAGTTAAGAGAAGTTGGCGTCAGAGCAAGATAACTTCCACCTGATAAGTTCGAGTATTCTCGTTACCTGTTTACTGAATAATGTATGGATACTTTGGGGAGTTAATCACTTGTGCGAGTTAACTAAGGCCAATTAAAAGAGAGATTTTCTAATTTTCTTTTGATTATTTGAGAGAGTGGCGCGTGTCAATCACAGGGTGTAGTGAAACAAAATCAGTGCCGTCCTGGGTTACCTCCGATAACTAATTGGGAATTTGTTTAGTCTAAACCAAGATTTACCAGAACAAGTAGATTCTCTACGTACCTCCTTCGAGAGTTTTAGCGGATCGCTCTTTGCTATAGTTTCCGGGTTGTGTTGTACGAGCTGCTACGCGGATTGTGTAGTCAGTGAATGGTTCGAGTCCAGTTAAGTTTGTTTCGCAGGGTTGCCGCTCCACGGTTTTCTGTTGAGTGACGGTTGTAGAGTTGTACCACTGTACACTGTATCCTGCGAAATCGCCAGGTGGGATGCCTGTGCAATTCCACTTCACATTGATGGTTGTATTTCCTGTGGCTGTGACTAAAATTTGTGGAACAAAGTTCGGTGCTAAAAATAGACGAAAGAGATCAATCAAAATCAAATGATCATTATTCCTATAATCGTTTTTATTGTAATTGTATTCTTGGATCAAAATATTGTTTACGTTTTTACGTTGTCGAAAATCAGAACCAGCCACAACAAAGATGTATAACTTGGTTTAACTTAAGATATACTGTGGCTTGTCACTGCTTCATAGCCACTGTAAAATGTGTATATAAAAGATCGGTCATAATTTATCGCCTAAGAGTGGGGGGGAGGGGGGAGGGGGACTAGGTTGCGTCACGTTTTTTTGGTTGTGTCACGAGGAAATTTACCCGATTTCCCCCCTCCCCCCCGTAAGGTTCTATAAATTCCAACGACCCTTCCCCTCCCCGCTCATCGGCAGTCATTTTTTTGTAGTCCTTCCCCCTTTACTCTGTCGGTAACGACTGATTCCAACTCCACTCCCCCTAAAAGCTATGTCATTACATCCAAAGCTATATTCAAACGGTCTATAGATGCATTTTTGTAATGGTTGAAATAAAGATGGAACATTCTATTTACACGGAACTGTGCAATATTCTTGCTCTTCTCGCACAGGAACAGACGATCTCCGTTGAAGTTTATATTTTGTCATTGGTTTTAGCCCCCCCCCCCCCCCCTTATACTCTGTTGACGACGACTGCACCCCTTTCCCCCTTCCCCCTCTCTCCGTTCGACCGTTCCCCTTAACAACCAAGCGATGCCCTAAAAAATCACCTGATGACCCACTCAGTTCAATTATCATTTTTTATCAGGTCGTACCTGGTGCATGTGTTGTCGTATTCTTCCACTGGCTGAAAGGTCCATTCCCGGCATGTGTGGAGGCTCTGACTCGAACGCTGTAATTCGCGAACACGAGGTTTTTCACTATCCCTACACGCGGAGTTGTATCGTTGAAATCAATAGCCCGTATTCCATGCCCGCTGCTGTTATACACTTCTAAGTTGTATTTAGTTATTTTCCCATTTCTGTAGCATGGATTAACTTCATCCCATGTAATTTTGATGCTGCTTTGGCTGTGAGGGAGTGCAGTGACATTTAAAGGTGATTTTGTTGGAGCTGGGTGAAAAAAGAAATGTTTAACAGCATTTTAACAATACGCAACAAGATCCAATACATGGATTATTGCCCGAACGTGAGTCAATGTGGCGTTTTTTAGGACTTCGCGCCAAGAATTAAGGGGGCCAAAGAAATAATTAATTGTATTCAGGAAAAGATTGCATAGAAAAAATTTCCGCCCTGGCAATGTAAATAGACGAAACTGTCTTCAACACGTTCGTTTCCTAATACGTGCGCCTTGATAGCACAAAACCTGATGTTTAAAAACGATTGATAGAAAAAAGTTGGAATCTCAAGCGTGCAAGACAAGTCCATCTTAAGCTCTGGCTGATTTATGGGAACCCCTTAGCAACAGTGAAGATTTTCAGGAATATCCTAACTCTTATTTCTGTTCATTTATTTGATAATAGAGATTTTGTAACTAAAAAACTCATTTTTTTAGTTACAACTGACAAACTGTGGGTGTTTTTAAGTAGCTATGTGTTACTATGGTAACCCATGGTAGTAGTAATGGGCATGATCCGGGATATCCTGATAAGAGGAAAAAAATAAACGGAAAAGAGACTGCGGATCAATAGTGAAATCACGACGCTGTAAACGAAATGCTTAATTTTGAAATTCAATCTTTGATATCACGCAAAATACATTTTAACTATTTTCTGGTCAATTCTCGCCCTAAAACAATTTTAATTTTGTTATGGGCTATTTTGACCAAATATGAATGACTCTTCCCTTCAACTTTTTTCTTAAGCCTTTACACCTGAAGATCAGTATGTATATTCTCCATACTGTTCTCCATACATTTCTCAGGGTCCTAACGAGGAGAAGTTGTTTAACAATCAAGAGCTTCCTTTGTTGGTGATCATTTCCTTTATTCTCATGACCTCAAGGTGTGATTCAGGGGTGATATTGTAAGGAGAAATTAGATGCTGGTCACTTTTAGGGATCAAAAGGTTACCGGCCTCAAAATAGACGAAAATTTTGGCTGATCGAAATAACACTCAGTTTAAATTAAAAAGAAAGAAACGAAGCAAAAAGGTTATCACATTGCTCATTCACAAGAAAATTACAATTTGAATTATCAGCAAAGCACAATCTACGCCGCCATTGTGTTCACCCTTTGTTCCTTGTACTCAGATTATCCAAATTGTTTCTGAACATTTCCTGTGGTAATGACTCGGAGAATTGGCTGGAGAAACAAGAGCTTCTTATGTTGCTTATCATATCCGCTTTGTTCATGAAGTTAACATTTCATGATTCATGGATGATTGTTTGAGAAGAAATTAGATTCTAGTTTTCTAAGGGTTTTAAAGTGAAGGTAGCCTACTTCTTACATTTGCCTGTGTTCTGTTCTTACTGTATCTTTATAACCAAGGTCTCCAATGTCTGACCAAGTATCATAAATATCAAATTCAAATTATTTTCCAGTTAATATCCTTACCTCCTTCCTTTGTCGTTACGTTGATTTGTTCGCTGAAACTTCCATTAGGATACTTTACCCCCGTGCCATCCTTTGCAGATAATTCTATTGGCCTGACTTTGAACTTGTGTGTAGTGCCACCACGAAGATTTGTAAACTCATGCCAATTTTTTGATGTGATGTTTGTTAAGCAGCTGCCAGACGGACATGAATCATTGACTGTGGATGAGTTTATCTCATACTTATCAGGCGTATATAACCCAAAGGGTTTGTCAATTACCTTCCATGTCACGTTAATAGACGAGTTACTAGGAGTTCCGTAGAGCTTCAGGATAATATTAGGGACTAAAAGGCAAAAGTATCGAAATAAAATCAGTTATGCAATTACAAAAAACGTACAAGCACTTCTCTGGGGTTTTTCTAGCTGTTGCGGTAAAGATTGATGATAAGCTAAATGTTGTCGTGGTCTGTTCAATTTTAAAATTTTCCTCAACGTAATTTGACAAAATCATCATTAGCAAAACTGAAAGACTACCACGTTTGCGGTAGGCCCTCATGAACCGCAGGCACCGAAGAAGTTAGATAACCGATGGCGTACATATCTATTTCATTCATTTCATCACTAATTAGTGAAAATTACAACAAAATTCTCGAACATGATTGGCTACCACCAGCCCGATTTTGTCATTAATAGGACAGTGTGCGCGTCATGCTTGTAATTGGACAATGTGATGGGCCAGTTAAGCGTCTTGCCTCGTGTACGCGCATTTCGCCGACTTAACGGTTGTTTTTGTTTTTGTTTTTACGAAAATGTATAAAACCGACGTCTAATCAGTCTTTCCAAAAAACGATCATGGTTTCGATTGATTGGTAACAAGATCTCGTGTCGTTCAATCTGTAATCATACCCGTGCTTAACAGATCGGACTCCCGCATCTGGGTCGTTCGACTTTGTTAATCACTTGTATGATTACCGACCGCATTGGGCCGCATTCAGTCCTATTACCATTTTTAATCGTTATGACTGGTTTTTTCGTTCGTGAAAACGAAATCGGTATAGCCATCGTTAAGCTACTGAGCCTGTAGAGTGCCTTTAAGCGAGCGTGATATGCTTCGATATTCCACCTCCAATTTTTTTTGCGCCTTGCAAAAGTACCTTCAACTTTGGAAAGACTACAGAATATTATTTTACGATATTGGAAAAACTCAAAAGAGATAATGATAAACAATGAAGGAACAAAGATGGCCAAGGATAGGTAGGATTCACACGAACAGAAATGAAGACCCACACGTAAATTCAGTCACAAACCGTGACATAGCTCAGCGGTAGAGCGCTAAAACTATGGTTTTCCTACCTGTCTGAGTAGTCGTTTGGTTTACAGGTTCACTGAAGTTCCCTCTGCCAATTTTTGTACGAGCCTGCACTCTAAAGGAATAAGTGACAAACATCTCCAAGTCTCCGATCACCACAGAATTTTGGGTTCCACGAACTTGCCTAGTTCCATTGGTGACATTTTTAAGAGTTCTTGATCCAAATTGAACTCTATACCACGTGATGATTCCATTACGTTTGTCCTTTGGCACAGAACCCCAACTCACTCTTATACTAGAGCCGTTGACAGCAACTGCTGTCACGTTTTCTGGGGGTGCCTGTGGTGCTACAAAGACAGATAACCCTAGACAGTGAGCATTTACGGCCGAGCACTTACAACTTACAATTCGTGTTGAATACACCATTATATCACTTAAAGAGAGCTTGGTAACCATTAACAACTTTATTATAGCCAGACCGTTAACCTGATGAAACATTGGTTTGTACATTTGCTAAACTAAATAAATACACAAAAAATTTCGTGTCATGGGCACTTAAAGCCGGTTTAAATGTGGGCCTGTATCAATGATAACAATGCTAGACCTCACCACTGGGAGCTAAGTTGCCTTCTCTTTGCGCGAAGAGTGTAATATCTTTAACGTCCCTGGCAACTAGTACAAAGAAGATGCAGGAGACGAGAAAGATAAACCCCGTAGAATTATTTCATTGTTTCTTCCACGTACGTATATTGTTCTGCTTTGCGTGAATTTAGCTGAATGTCATTGCATCTGAATTAATCTAAGCATACTGTAACCTCTTTAACAGAATTACGCTACAAATAATTGACATCACTTGGATTCATACGTCATAAAAGTTAAAACGTACCTTCCTCGGCGGTATAGACCTGAAGCAATTGACTCTCATTTCCTATCCCCTTTATGGTGAAAGCAGCCACCGTGATGTTATACAAAGTAAATATGCGTAGACGCGTCAGCTCATATGAAGTATTCAGATGACATAGCATCACTTTCCGCGTGGCATTTGCGTTATCAGCTGGGGTGTAAGAGATCTCGTAACCTTTAAGAACCCCATGAATTTCGCTTTTGTTGGGCCGTGTCCACGATACAAAAATTGACCTCGAACTTGTGTTGTAAGATCGTACGTTACCTGGAGGTGCTGTTGGGACTATTGTGAGAAGGAAAACAATGATGAATTAGTGATTATTCAATTTTATTTGGTTTCCAACTTCGAAGAATTGAAGGCAATTTTCTGAAGATGTCCCTAATGCAGAGAAATGTCACTGCTCTTTGGAATAAGTGTGTGGGTTCTTTGAGGTCTCCAAAGACGATACAGGAGGTGAGCTGACTTTACAACCTCTTTCTCAGGGGGAAGGAGTTAGGGGAGCTTCGCCCTCTCTTATTTAACGGGTGGGTTTTGATCCTCGCCGGAAAGTTTAACTTGTCTCACCATTTACAGATGTTTTCGCGAATACATTTTCGTTGATAAGCTTGAGCCCCTGTGCGTTTTCCCTTGCAAGGTTCAAACCTTCGACCTTCCAGTCGTTTCGCACTCTATAAACTCAGCCAGCTGGACAGCAGTTTGGTGCAAACACAAACGCCAAATTGACCCTTTCACTCGCACAAGTGATCATAACAGAATTTCTCCTTACAATATAGATACAATATCAAGCAAACAAGTGATGAGAATATAGAAGATATCTATTATGAGATTATAAGTTGATCCGATACCAAATTCTACAAACTAACATCATTAGAATTATATTGGACAGTTGGGAAAAAACCGGCTCGAACACCATGCACAAACGGAGGTACCAGGAGTCTGATCATGAACTTTGCTTCACACTCTGAGACTCTCTCTCTCCCTCTCTCTTATTTTCAGCCCTAAGTACACGCTCTTTAATACCCTATCGGTAGGCATGTTTGAGCTTTCGGGGCAACTGACCCTGGCAGAGTAAACATATTTTCTAGAACGTTACTAAATTAATCTCAAAAGACATCATAACATAGCTATTAAATTTGTCTAATCAAATTCAATTGCGCGAGCGTGCTTCATATTCCTATTGTGCACGCTCATGACGTCAGCAAACATATCCCTCGAGAAAAAATTTTCCATCGGGTTGAAAATGTTAGAAAACAATTGGTTCATACGTCAGCTGTGCGTTCATCGAGATATGAAGCACGCGGGAAGTTTGGAGAGCACGAAAGATGCGTAAGAGTTGCCCGAGGCGTAGCCAAGAGCAACTCTAGCTTCTTCTTCTAGAAATGAATAACAAAGTAGTTGATCTACAACCAATCTTCGAGAACTAAAACGTGAACAAAACTCGCTGTTAAGGACTGTAAGCAAGGTCAAGGACAAACCCAAACACGACTAACGATGACGAGAATTAAGTCCCATACAACGGTCAAGGACACATTACTCAAAGGGTAAAATAAATGTGTGGTCATGCAACACATTACAAGCTAAGGCTTACAAGACTCTCATAAGGATGTGCTCAAAAATCTTCTGTGTTGTTACCGGCGTTATCAGGTTACGGTTGCCTTCGCCGTTATGATTTTCTTGAAGTCCATGCGACCGGATTTGATAAATCCGCATCGCGGCCAAGACGACAAAACACAAAAGAATTCACCAGAAATGAATTGCTAAATTAATTAGAAAATGCTTACCTCCTTCTTGTGACATGAAATAATACTTGTCACTGAATTTCCCCACAGCGACTGTTATGGCTGCCACTTCAAAAGAATAGTTGGTGTAAAGACTCAGATTTGTTAGCCGGATTTCTCTTATGATGTCAGAAGCTGATGAATTTGTTGTACTGTTGGTAATATTTCTGATATAATCTTCACTCGAATTCACTTGCTTCCAGCGCACTTCATAACCACGAAGGATTCCATTTAATCCTTCTTCCACTGGTTTCCACGTAAAGTTAAAAATATCATTCAACATGAAGGGGTCATACGACATGTTGACGTGCGTCGGAGGATAACATGGAGCTAAGGAAAAAAAAATGATCATAAAGTTAAGACGGGGAATCTTTGTATAGGGTTAACCTCTAGAATATCCCCTTTCGAGAGACTTTTTACAATTTTTTTTCTCTTCAATAAAGTATTGTTTTGTATCCCAAAGCAGATCCTCCCTCCCGCTCCGTCACCCCAGTTTGTCCATCTTGAAAACTTTCCTTAGGATTTTCAAGTTCGTTATTTTAAATCGGTGTTTATATTATTATTATATTTTTTTACGTTTGTACATTCCGAAAACTTCTGACAAAGAAATTAGTTTTAGTTAATAGAAATTCCCTATAATTAAAGATTTAGTTCAAGATTTTGTATCGTGATAGCTCCATATGGGGATCTCAAAACCCACGGGGGAGTTTAATTTCCCCCAAGGGAGCTCATTTCCTATGGAAATGGTACGGGAGTTTTACAGCTGACTAAGAATAATGAGAGCGGATTCCGATCGAATGTCATAAAGTTGGAGCAAAGCCAAGTACAAATGATCAAAGTAAGAGATTTTCCGTCGCAGATCCCTGCTCTACGATCCCCGCTCCTCATTCTTCTACTTCTTATCACCGTTTTCCATTTTTTTTCCGCCCACACCCATTCTCCGATTTTTGTTTTCTAATCTATTTGCCGTTCCTGTATTGTATTCCATGTTTCTTGTTCCCCATTCCCGTTCCTCGTATCCCATGTCCTATTCCTAGGGACTGGTAATTTTTCATTGCCTGGGGTTCGGGGGAATTTGTTTGTGTCACAATAAAATTTATGTAATGCTCCCTTAAGGCTATGTTCTTATCTAATGATTCCTCCTCATTGGCAGCGGTCAATTTTCCATAGTCCGCTTTTTAAACTATGGGATTGAAGGACTGGAACCTAGGGGGAAGGAGGAGTAGCCTGCGTTGCTGGCGGTCTGCGGTTTCGAGGGCGGAGAGTAAAATGAAAGACCCACCAAAAATCTTCGCTCCCAAAATCGCAGACCGCCAGCAACGCAGGCTACTCCTCCTTCCCTTTAGGTTCTGGTCCTTCAATCCCCATAACCGTTCTCCACTCCGCTTTCCGTGATCCTGACATTGGTTTTATTTTTAGCTATCATTGTCAAAAATCTCCTTACCGGCCTCTGCGGTTCGGACTCGTTCCTCCTCACTGGCGTTTGACGCTCCTTTGCTAGTCCATGCTGTTACAGTGACGTCATAAAACGTGTAAGGTTTGAGGTCAGATATGGTTGCGTTGAAACCAGTCACATTGAGCTCATGAATAATTTCCTCTCCTTCATGTTCAATAGCAGCAACTGTGTAGAAGGAAATTTCACCCCGACGATCTGCTAGCGGGACTTGTCCCCAGTGCACCGAAATCAAAGTAGCATTCTTCTCGTCTGCCTTTGCACTAACATTAACAGGTGGACTTGTCGGTACTGAAACCAAGAATCAATAAATAATTAAAATTGTAAAATATTGAGAAGAGATAGCTGGGCCAATTCAGAGTGTTTTTTTTTATTTGGTTTATCTTGGTCTCCTCAAAGTTGCCTTGCATTACTTCCAGAAAAAGAAACAAGCGATCAAACAAACAAACAAATGTGTATTACAAGCATCGCTACACGAGGCAAACTTTTAACAGATAAAATGAAAGCACTTTCTATCTTAAAAAAAATGAATTAATAAATAAATAACGCAAAAAAATATGATTTTCGCGACAGGGCGAAACAACATATGGACGTGCTTACTCACCGCCTTCATCTGTACGGAAAACTGCAATGGTAGCATTTGGCCCAAAAGTTGCGTTGTTAAATGCTCTTACTTCGACATGATAGTCTGTATATACTTCCAATTCTTCGATTTTCACAGCCGTTACTTTTTTGCAAACAAATATCGAGCTGTTATTACTCAATGTTCCAAGGGCGACAGGAGTATCATTTCGCTGATGACGCACTCTGTAACCAAGGATCTCTCCTTTTACCTTACTCCATTGGACGAACAAGCTATCGCCTGTTCTGTTGTAAACCGTCACATTGCTTGGTGCTAAGATCGGAGTGGGAAGAAGAGTGAAATGTTTCAATTCCGGGTCGGTCTTCATTTATCGCCTGGGTGGGGGGGGGGGGGGGGAAAGAGGGAGAGAGGGGAGAAGGGAAGTCGGAGGGAGGTCGGGTACCTGATCTCCCATTTATGATCTCCGTCATTAGCAGTTAATTAGCAGTTAATTAGTTCATGCTCTGTTGGCGGAGACTCGGATCCCAACTCTATTCCCCCTTAAAGCTATGTAATTAAATCCAAGGCTATATTCAAACGGTCTATAGAGGAATTTTGTATCGATTGAAATAAAGATGGAACATTCTATTTACGCGGAACCGTGGAATATCCTTGCTCTTCTCGCACAGGAACAGACGTACTTGGTGAAAGTCTATATTTTGTCATTAGTTTTAGTCAGTATCTGCCCATACTGAGAGAACCACTTCAGGAATGTCCAAAATACAAACGCTTCTTCTCGATTCACAAATGGAGAGGGTCTTTGCGTTTTTACTAACCACTTTGGCTAAAAAAGTTCCTCCTGATTAAAAAGTTCAGAGTTTTGAAGTGTCTTAACTTCTGTATAGAACAACTAAACGGAAAAAAATCGTCTGCTTAACCCTTTAACTCCCAAGATCTCGTTAGAAATTCTTCTTACTGTCTGCCATACAATTCTTGTAATGCTCGTTTGGAGAATTTGGTATTGGATCAACTTATAATCCCTTGATTAATATTTTTTTTTATTCTCATCTCTTGTTTGCTCGATATTGTATTGATATTGTAAGGAGAAATTCTGTCTTGGTCACTCATGGGAGTTAAAGGGCATGTTTGATGGTCGAGTGAGCTTCCTTTGGATAAGAATGTAAAAGTATTGTTTTAGTTTACAACGTTATATGTTTCGACAACTTGAACGAAGCTCATTATGAAAGTTAAGTGGAGAATTGTCTCTCAGTTGAATCATTCACAGAAGGCCTAAATGTTTGCTTTGCCAACGGATTGACACTAACCAAGTACATCTGTCGAATGTTGCTATAGGTTTGCAACAAATATAACGATAAGAGACCCAAAGGGTCTAACTGGGGTGATGACTTCTAGGGCTAACGGTTAAAATTTTGGTCATTACACGGCTGACGGTTAATCTATTTCCGTTCAAGTTCACGGAAAGATTTTGACGGTTAAATTCTTTTTACGAATAATAATTATGATTTGTCAATTTTTTACGCCTAACGGCTAATTTTTTCTTTGCCGTTACACTTCTAGAGGTTAACCTCTGTCAAAGAACATTCGGAAAAACCAACCGATTAGTTTCATCGAACGAGGGGGCCGTTTCTCGAAAGTGTCGGTAACTCAACGGAGCCCGAAACCATGTTTTAAAATCAGAATTTAAACAATAGAGAAAGAGTTTCTGGTACCATAGCCGGTCTAATTCGTTTCTTTGTCTGATAGTTTTGTATCGTTTTCAAAACCTTGGAAACCCCCATCTGTAATGAAAACAATATAGCTTTAGGGGAAGGGGATTATTTATAATCTACGGTTACAAGTTGCCTTTGGCTACAATTTCCTATATAAAAGAGCGCGCACAAGAACTGAGACTTTGTTGAGTTTTTATCGCAATATTATTGCGAATAATATGAATCGAAAAATACAAAAGACAGAACCCTTTGCAAAGCCACAGAACTAAATTCAGAATTTACACTAACCCCGCATGAAGTTAATCGTGTTTTGAACAACCCGGCCCAGACTTCTATAATTTTGACCGACTAACGGTTTTTACTTGACTCTGGTAAGAACTTCCGCTCCGGATGTTGTTGTTCCTCAAAGAAAAGTCATCGGGATTTTTTTTCTTTTCTGATCTCAGACTTAGATGAACTGCGATTAAATAATATTCCCAGGTTCAAACCTTAACAGTTTTCAATAATTTTACATCATCTGTCAAAGATATTTTTCTGTATTTTTGGATGCGTTGTTTATTCACGTAGCAGATGGTAACACCAGGTTTTAGACAGGCAGAAATTTAACTTTTGACATAGAGTAGCGTAAATTCTAACCGCTGAAATCTTGACGGGAATTTTTTCCACAATATCCTGCTTTTTTTCAATAATATTCCCAGGTTCAAACCTTAACAGTGTTCAATAATTTTACATCATCTGTCAAAGATATTTTTTCTGCATTTTTGGATGTGTTGTTTACTCACGTAGCAGATGGTAACACGAGGTTTAGCCAACCAGAGAAGGCCTAATGAAGCCCGATAAAAAACGTGTTTTAGACATACGTGCCGTTCAAGTTTGCCGAGAACCCACTGAAATATCCTCAATGTCATTTTCGTAGTCGACTCGGCTTAAATTGAAATGGTTAGCTCGTGGCACACAAAATGAAAAATTTACTTTTAACGGTTTACTTTACTATCTTCTTTCAATTACGAAAATTAAGGCGACGATGTGGCGATTTGTTTGTTTGATAGCGGTAGATACTTGCTAATAGCACTTGAGTGAGCGAGGGTAATTTTGCATTGACTGTCATCCGAAATATCACAATATTTCCTTGCAAAGAGACTCATTACCGAAATTAAAAGTGATGTTGGCCCCTACGCGGGCATAATGAATTTAATTTTCATAAAAACTGAACGTAATGAAAAGCAGATGCTTTTCAGGACTTAAGAACTTTACTTTAAAATGGCAAAAATAAAGATCATGATTTGGGATCATGCTTATTAAGTGTAAAATTAGTTTAACAGCATTACGATTAAAACACAAGATTGAACGAGGCTATTTTCCCATGGTGAAACGTGACTTTGTCAAGTATAATAGAAGCCTTAGGACCCAGCAATCGTTTGGGGATGTGATGTTCCCGTGAATCATTTTTATGTGCTAACAGTTATAAATTTTTCATCAAGGACAGGCAGAAATTTAACTTTTGACATAAAGTAGCGTAAATTCTAACCGCTGAAATCTTGAGGGGAATTTTTTTCCACAATATCCCACTTTTTTCTTTTCTTTTTTTAATTGACTCTTTGGATTTGAAATATGTTCGTTTCCGGTCTCAAGGGAATTCAATTTTGAGAGCGACAAGAAAAAGCTATGTTTGAGGTGTTGTCAATTGAAGAGACAGTAGCGATTATCTTCTGTCACTAATGAAACAACCTGTTAGTATTGACCCAAAGTGAAATACGGGACGTTTTAATTAAAAGAAGTGACGTTTTCACCAACTGGAAATTCGCCAAATTTTCGAGAATTTTCTGGGGATACTCTTTAAAACCGTTTCAAACGGTTTTAAAGAGTACATATAACTCTGTTATATATCGGAAGGTAAAGTTTACCTTCCGATATATAACAGAGTTAAAACTTGGTAGAAAATAACACATTTCCACGAGAGTGCAAAAAATCAATAATTAACAATTGCAAAGACAATTCTCAAGTTCTGCATTTCATTTCGTAGAATTTCAGTAGGATCAAACAACAAAACGATAAAAGGACGAGCACGAATTTAAGTAAAAATGTTTTTAGTTTTAATTGGTGATAGAAGTGGTTTTGTAGATCAAAAACCTTTCTTGTATTCGCTTTTATATGCTCTTTGTGAAGAAGGGTTGAAAATTATCCATTATTAATGACATGAAAACGTCAGACAGTCACATAATATTTTCAGCGAAAAAAAAATTTCTAGAGTATTATGGAAAAAGCGGGAAACATTTGGTTACAAGTTAGTTGCATCGAGAAACTTTTTCACTAAAATTGCATATTTTAGATTAGACCTTATTGAGGTTATAAATAATTCACCCACGACTCAATATTACTAAGTTAATAACTTGGTTTTGGAAGCTAATGTGGCTTTCTAGAATGCCATTCTCTTCTAAAAGCTGACTGTGCTTCAGTTCTTAACTACACTACGCCAAACTTACCGGCAATTTGTATCTCAGCTTGAATGCCATGATGAATAACCACGAAAAAAGCGGTGATCTGTCAAGAGCAAATATACAACTGAGTTTCATCATATTCTAGGAAAAATTGGCGTAAAATTCTGTGGTTATACAAAAAACAAAAACAATCGACAAGTGTATTACCAGAACTATAAGTTGCTGCCACATCTTTGTCATAACGATATTCTTATCATTATAAATTTCAACCAACTTTCCGTCCTGTCGTTACTTTAGCAACAGCAGGTTGTATGTAAACGGCATCTTTGTTATTGTACCCAGCTCTGTGAAGACTGTTTTCTTTACATCATATTTCGTTGAGCCTTTAACAGTTGATTCAAGCTGATGCAGTTATGATGTTTCTTGGATAGAGGTTTTTTTCCTTCTACCATTAACTGAAACAGCTTATCCGGGGCGAACCTCCTCGATTAAAATGCTAAGTAATGTATATGTCGAAGTCAGTGCCTAAAGACGTCAGCATTATTAAAATTTCCTCTCCTTTATGCAGATGAGCTAAGTAAATTATTACAAACTTATTGAGTATGGCCAGACATAGATCCCAAAGGATTCGTTCTAAGGGATGGTGAAAATTCTCTTTGAGAACAAACGAAATTGACGGTGTTTTTGTCAGCGAACTTCTCGAGTCATTAAAATATTTATCACCAGCGTGCAAGTGAGCGCCATCTGCTTTAAGCAGACACAAAGGTTGTTGACTTTTCAAGTATAATTTGAAACCAAAATTCTAAGTTAAGCAATCTTGCCCTTCGTATTCGGGGCCCAAAAATAATTTTTTTGGTGCTTTGCATGACCTACTACCTAACTTGATGGGAAAGATTTGTTTTCAAATAAGTTTACGTAAAAAATATAAATTTTGATGCTAATTGCGAGTATTTTTAATTTGACTGTTGCGATAGGAGTTCTTGGTTGTCTCGCAAAACACCTAAAAGCAATTCGCACGTTCGAAACTCGGAAAAAAGAGTTCTTATTTGCACGCAATAGGTTTTCCATGAGTGAAAAAGGTGACATTAATGAAACAAAAAAATTTTCCCATAGGAAGAGATACAGTTGCGAATCAAAGCGTATTATATTTCAATTTTTGGCATGGTTTTCAAAATTAAAACGAGCGAATTGGAAGACTGTTATGTATAGTCTTTGGCGCTTACTTAATTTGAGCCTTTCAACATTTCAAATTTGCATAAATATATTTCTGTCAAACATTGTAAAATATCAGTTTTATTCAAAAGGCTGTTTTTTTTAACTTGCCTAACATTTAGTCTTGATGCAAATGAGCTTTGTTTCTGGCATTGCAATCGCAAAAAAAGCATATTTATTTTTTCGTTAATTTCTTTCTCTCTTCAGGAAGTTTCTACAAGACTCTCACGGCGAACGAATAGTAGTATAACTTTTTTTGTCTTTTATTTTGAAAATATGAAGTTAGAGACTCGTTCACGAGATAAATTATTGAAAATGCAAGAAATTTGAAACTTGTGCATAAATGGGAAATGGATGATAATTCTAGTCCGTCGAACAAGTGTTTTAGTAAAGCTTTTGGCGGGTCTCTTAATCGCAATTATATTAATGGTGATCCACCTGCAGTTTTGGTCGCATCTAACGCGCTCAAGTTCTCACTTTGGGTCTGACGAGGGAACCCAATGTGTGGCCATTGCAATGATATGATAGCTACTCAGTGTGTATGCCTTTCAGATGGAGATGATTATAATGTTGTCCAAGGTGTTGTAAACCGTTAAGACAATAAATGAAACGCCAAAGTTTGAGCACTGAAATGAAAGCTATTGCGTATTTCCAAGTCGTCACTTATTACGTTTTGAAAATTGGTTCTAAAGCTGCTCACGGTCGGTGGATGAAATGGTCTCGTGCGATTTTGCACCTGAAACTTCTTTAGCGATTCCTTTGTATGGAATCAATTTCATTTACTACTCTGTTCGTCAGTCTTCGGTCGAGTCAAGTAAATTCAAGTTTGGGGTATAAGAGTTAAGAAGTTTGCACCCTGCATATTCCTTGTGAAAGCCTGATTTCATTTTGTGTTCCTCGAAAAGATTGCATGATTTAACCCTAAGCTTAAAATCACCAACGGTTTTTGTTATTCATAAACACTCAGAGTAATACCATGATACTGCACGCACCCACATGGGCGACCTACTGCTTTCATATTACTGCAGAGTTTCCTAAACTATTCATAAGAAAAGGATGATATTTTTCCGTGTGGTTAATATTTTATGTTCCTAAAAAGAGCTACATAAACATTTTCCCGCGAATTTAACAAGGAAAACTAAGGTGGAAGGAACACAATTTCTTACAGGAACAAACAAAAAACTTGGCTTATTTATCAAATTTTTACTTCTCAAGGAAATTGAATCGAGATGAACTTTCGTTACACCTTATCTTTTAATACTAATTAATTGAAATAATTTTCTTTCGGATTTAATTCTAAACGAACGTTAGAAAAATTGTAAATGAGTGATGAAACATAGTCGAGCCAACATTCTCCTTCGAAGATTCAAGAGATAAGAAATACTCTTCCATGGAATTGTGTGTCTATTAGTTTACAAAGACGCACGAAGGCGGACTGATTAGAAGATATGACACGGGAAGTTCTTCTCCAACATTTGCATAACATATTTTTTGTTACAAACCTTACCTCGAGTAGGCAGCAAATTGCCATATCTATGATGTTACATCGTCTATCAATTTCAATAGATTATCTTTGCTATATAAAACCCCTCTTCTGAATCGCAGCTAGATTGTTAATTCTAGCCAGGAGAGCGGGTAGTTAAAATTTTTCCTTGAGGTGACGTTAGCCGAATACATTAATTGTTAATTGAATTGGGGAAGTTCTTTCGAATAAAAATCTGTCAGATGTGTCTTGAAGTGGCTTTTCTTGTCTGCTAGCAGGTGGCATTTTATTTGAACGAATATAAAAGTCTTGTCGAGCATTTGATATGAATTTACCATAAAGAGAAGCTGTTACAAATGGTAAACTTTCCCAGTTTTTACACAATGGGTCAACAAATGCTCTCGTCGATCAGCGCCGGGGCCAAAATAGACACAGCAGGTCTCGAAAGAGAGTTTTAATTATAGGATCCAAGACAGAAGGTGTAGGGAGACACTTAAGAACAATTTTAGTACGATTGCGCCGTCAATCTTTTTTTTTTCCTTTTTAAATAATGATGTTGCATTTGCAGTGAGGTTAAGTTAAGAAAAACGTTTATGACCACGTATCCATTAGGCTCGCACCTAGTTTAAAAGTTTTGGTCCAGAGATACGTATTAATTTTCAAGAGGCTTTATTTAGTGAAATGCTATACACCCGCTTATCAATCACAAATGTTGTATCCTGAGACCGTAATAGTTTTCAGCACATTCCATATAGACCAAATAACAACCCCACAACACCCCCCCCCCCCCCCCCCCGTCTCATACTTCAGCCCCATATGTATTTCATGCGAGGTTTATTCTTGGCTCAAGGTAATTGGGTTTGTAAGAACTTTTTTTTTTTAACTTTTGCTTACAACATAGGATAAAGTTCCGAACGGCTCAGTCTTATAGAGAGAAAAAAATGGAAAAAGGAACCATTTCACTAGCGAGGCATTACCATCTTGTAAGAAAACAGCTAGTTATTTGTTTCAAAAGCTTGAAATGTAGTTTATTCAATGAATTAACAATGAGAAATTTGAAGCTCTTCATTTACATTGCATATTTGGTTTTGCTATCCAATATTTGCAGTGCACAATTATTCCATCACTGGGTCGTTGAACGATGTTGCAATAGATAATGGGAAGAGTTGCTCTTAACAAAAATGTTGTAAAAAAAAAGGTTAAAAACAAAAATTAATTAAGAGATATAAAAAAGCCAGGCTACCAGGAGTTGATTGGGAGAATCTAATTTCCTCTTGGGGTGCTACCTCTTTATCAATGATATGAAATAAGAATAGCGAAAATTGTTAATAGCACAAATAGAAATTGCATGCGTATCGCTAACGCCCGCACCATGTTGAAGATTTCAGTGTCGAGAGAATATAAATAGTGACTTCTTACACCCAAGATTTAGATAGTGAACCCAAAATTCAGGCCAAATTAGGAGTTCTACTCGTATTACAGCAGCCCCGTAAACATGTCATACAAGGTACTTAATTACTTAGCCCGAGGTCTCTGGGTTTATATGAAATTATACGAAACCTTTGCATGCAACAAAGAATAAATTATTATTTCCCTATGAATCAATCTTATATATCGTGGACTTGGAGAGGTAAAAGGAAAAAATATTTCGCTTATCAGCGGGAAAACACGCAGTTATTTGTTTTCTCCCAATACAGCTTGAAGCGTCTGTTTATTCAATGAATTACAAGTGTGAAATTTCAAGCATTGCATAATTTTCTATTCATGTTTTCGCCTTTATTTATAGAGCATAATTTTCCATCGTCATTGGCCATTTAGACGGGATTTTTTTGTAACAGCGAAAAGTTACCTCAAATTTCAACGTTGTTGTCATGGAAAACGACAGAAATTAAAAAAAAATACATTTCAAAAAATGGAATAAGCCACACAGAACTTTAGAGGTAATTTCGAATAATAATGTGACTGTTGATTGTTGAAAAAGAAAAAAGCTAACAGCTAGAAATGTATTGGAAAAAAAGGGAAAAAGCCAAAGAGGAATTTGATTAAGGAAGTCTAACTTTCTCCTAGAGAGAAATAAATCCTTGCTGTCGATAACACCGTTGATTTAAAATAAAAATGAGAGAGAAAAAAAAAAACTTTTTAGATCATGAGAAGGTAATTTATATGCTAATGACTCCTTATTTGCCTTTTTGTGTTTTTATTTCTACTAGCTCTTTTCCATGGCAACGTTTTTAAAATTAGGATGTGTAATGATTCAAGGCCAGATAAAGACATTTTTTTTAGGTATTTAACCTTATTGTGGCAGAGACAAAGCTGTTTAGAATTTGTCCTACCAGCCCGCGATGAACCATCCTCAGTTTTTCTTTTAAGGTGCAATTTATAACAGACTAACAGCACACTTCTGTTTACATATAAATCATGTAGGGTTCTTCGGTTTAGGAAATACCTCGAAAGTCATGCAATCTTACAATATCATTTTCAAGGCCTGGGAAAGTTTAAAAGTGGACGAATCCTAACATTAATATACGACATTTGACTGTCTTCTGTCGCTTTTTGCGCCGAAATTGTGCAAGAGTTGCGAAAATTGTAAGTTCGCTCCATGCACTTTATTTTTTGCGCAGGATCAAAGTGGGCAAGATGGGCCCATCCTACCCGCTCGGGTAGCCAATCAGGAAACAGGATTTGCTTGAAAAACCATATTCATCAGTTTAATTTTTGTCGAGGGGCATGATTGTGTATGAACCTTAAAGAACGCAGAGCCTCATAAACATCTGAAAGTAACTCTCGGAGATCTTAACGCGAAAATTTACACTAAGATATCATTTTTGAAACCCTAACCTCTATTATAATTGTTCATCCGTTCCTATAAGTTCGGAGATACGCGAAGACCCTCCCAAACCAGCACTAATCCTTTGCCCCTCAAGGTGACCGGTTTCTGATTTCTCCTTACGATTTCATCCTTGGATCATACATTAAGGTCATGAGCATAAAGGAAACGATCACCAATTTCAGAAGCTCCTGATTGTAAATAAAATTCTCCTTATCTGTACCATACGAAATTTAAAGAGAAAAGTCAGGAGAATATAATTATTGATATTAAGGTGTAAAGGTTTAAATGAATACGCAAACACCGTACTTTGCTCCTTTTTAATCCTTTGTTTGCTCCTTAGTGCCATTTCTTTATCATTAAAATTATTGAGTATTGTTACAAAATCGAGTCCAAATGCTACGTTTCTTACTAAAGTTTAGTAAATTAAGACACTTTCTTCTTTATATTTCCTCATATCATAGGAGCGTTGACCTTTATTTCGTCCGAATGTTGTAACGTGGGCCTGAAATGTGAGAGAATTTACCAAAATTAGAGATCGATATAAAACTGGAAATTAATTGAAAAAAGAAACAATTAAGTTAGCACAGTTTTCATTCATATTTTCCTATACCGTTTTGGCGTCGACCTTGACTTCCCGATAGGTAATTCACCTGTGGGTCTGAAATATATAAAAAAAAAATCACCAGTGTAAGAGATTCGGACATGAAAAGTATAGCTCTCTCTCTAAAGAGCTTAAACGCCCGAAAAAAGCACTTAATATCTTTTGCCAACTATCAGTGCACCCAGCTATAGGAAAGGGTCTTATTTAACCTTTTAACCTTTAACCTTATTTAATTTTCTCGTTTTTACAAATTGCTAGTCATTACCAGACAAATGGGTGCGTAAATGGATGAATGGATTAGTAGATGAATGGAAGGATGGATGGATGGACGGATAGCTGAACCACGGGGGTGGTGTGTAAGGAGTTTTAAGAGTGAGACATCACACTCCCAAACTCCCCGCGGCACGCTAACTTCATTTTTTTGTCTCACTGAATTTTTTGGAGACGCTCAACGGACTTCGCCGAAAGGAGGGACTGTTCGTACTCTTCAACAACAACAACAACAACAATAACAATTACGTTTACCAAATTTCTTGTGATAACCGAAACCGACGTGCCAACCCGGTGGGCCATTGTTCCCCAATCCGCCACTGATGCCCAAACTCGATTTGCCATTGTTACTCCCATAACTACCACTGACGCCCCAATTGCGTCCATTGTAACCACCAGTGATGCCCCAACCTCGTTTACCAGTGATGCCCCAACCTCGTTTACCATTGATGCCCCAATCCTGTTTACTATTTTTTTGTGCTCCGCTGACACTGGCATCCATTGATGACCGACCAACATTGCTGTCCCAAGCACTCTGTGGAGTAAGAGGTGTTTCTGCAAAGGTAATTTATAACGTTTGAAATTGTCATTGCTCTATTTTTCTTTTTGGAAATGAAAACTTTGAACCGATCTCTAACAACAAAGAATTACTGATGTAGCAGTATTGGTTAATAGTTTTCTCTTCTGGCCCGCGCGAGTTACGCACAATTTTTGGAGCACTCATATCTATGCGTTAAACCCACACTGATCAGTGCAGTGCTTTCAGAAAGGAGGTTTATCTCAGCTATATTCATAATATTCATAGATCCAAGTTTTCTTCTACAAATCAAGAAGAATTAAAAACTGCACTTAAACTACAAGTGAGTGAGGAGGATTATCGTTGTTCAACTTTGACATAAAAAAAAAAAAAACTGCATAGTGACACTTTGCAAAACTAAAGCGGTAGAAAAAGTTGAAATGCACTTACCAACCATGGGTATCTTCGGAAGGATCTTGCGATTACCAGCATCTAGTACACGGGGACCCAAAACCTTTAAATTAAAATGGTCTCGTCAATAATAGATGTAATGATAAATAACGATTTAAGGATATCATCTAAAAGCAATCAGCACTAAGAAAGACGGTAAGTTTCTAAAGAATCTGTGTTGCTGCGTTGGCGAGGGATATCACATGATTAATTGGTTTTATGGAAATCTCTATAAAAAAGTTTGTAAAGCTGAAGTTTCGAGTGTTAGCTCTTCGTCAGAGTCGACGCAATACCTGATTTAAACCGCAATTGCTTTTTGATTGATTTAGTTTACATCATGAAATAAAAGGCCAAAAATTAATCAATAGTTTTTTTTACACCCGTTAAAATAAAATAAGACACTCCTGCATTATTTCTGACACTTAATTGAAAATTGCATCAAATGTGAAAATAAATGTCGTGAACGCTATAAACATGATAGCTTATCTGAAACACACGAAACTCTTGTGGTAGTACATTACCTTTGTTTTCAGCGCGGCGTTTTCCTCATTTTCCAAGGGAAATGAATTCGCCACCGCCAGAGTAACCAGCAGCATAACAAAGCGCTTCATATTCTGTTTTTGAAAACTAAAACCATAATAAAACACGTCAGATGTGTAATCACTTTTATCTCTGGGTACTTGGTTGACTTAGTTCTCACTGAAGTTGTGACCATTAAAGTATCCAGGACTATGTGATCATCTCTCCTGAATTTTACTTATGGGGAAGACAGCCCTTTTAGTGATGCTCTGCGCTTTCATAATACTAAATACAATTCGATTACCCGTAGATATGGAACATTGGAACCCCCAAAAAGCTGAAAGGGATAACTTTCAACAGACTTACATTCCTTGTGGGAGCAGCGGCAACATTCTTGGTCGCTTTGTTGGAATAGACGGGTCAAATTCTTGATTTTAAACCACAGGCTCCAAGGTTACTTAAGTCACAGAATTAGTCCTAAATTCTTATATGGCTGACTACGGCGAAGAATTAGGTATGAAGAAAGTAGAGGAAGGAATGGAAATAGATTTGACCTCCTTTAAATTTGTTCGTAATATAACTAAATGAACTGAGTCATGAATTAAGTCAGATAATACAGAACGAAGAAAAAAAGCAGATCCGGTCGTTGCCTTACCTTGAGATGAATTCTGGACGCTGTTATCCTGCTTCGTAAGAGCACGGAGTGAGTATGGATAATGCTATGTATGTATTTAATCTTTTATAACATCCAAACATTACTAATTAGCACTGTTAATGCCTGATAGTGTGTATCAGTTTCGTACCCGTACGGTTCGAACCTAAATTCAGACAATTTGTTACTAGCGAAAACAAATATCGATTTTGTACGTAGGTTAAGATTGTACAATAATGACACAACACATACATACATATCATTTATTTAAACCCGAATTTCAGAGTTGCTATATAAAATTAGCCAATATTTTCCAGAAATAATAATGAAATAAATAAAAACGTTATCAAAAACGAAACAAAAAAAATATTTATTTGCATATGTATTAACATATATAAAAGGCTTATAGCTATACTCATATTTTAAGAAATGCTGCAATTGGAAATATATATGCAAATATTCTTTTCATCATACTTGCTTTAAACATACTTGACATGGAAAACAATATTTAGTAGAACCTCTTAAACACTTATCTAATAGTTTCGTACATAAGGAAGTTTCGCACCCGTACGGTTCGAACCTAAATTCAGGCAATTTGTAACCAACGAAAACAAATATCGTTTGTGTACAAAGGTCAAGAAGTGTAGGGAGAGACACTCGACTACGTCTTGTGTTTCTCTCCACTTCTTGAGTGCTCTACCGGCTTCCTAAGTGTTTTAAAACAGAACAGAGCACAGTTAAGGCTTCTTTATTTGTTTTATAATAAAGAATTCGTTAAATTCCCCAAGCAAACTCCCAAGCATTACTTTCAATTTTCAAAACAAACTTTATTTCCAAAGCGAACAACAGTGTCGTCAGCATGCTGTATACTCTCATAAAGCATGCTACAATAAGCCAATCAGATTCTTGTTAGAATGGTTCAAATAATCTGATTGGCTGTACAAGACTAAAGCTGTCAAAAATGTCAAGTCATCAAAGTTCAACAAACCATCAATAGTTCACATTCTGTAATAGTTTACAAACTAAATTCAATAGTTCAGCAGGTCTAATTTAACACTTCTGCCTAAAGTTTTTTAGTCTCTAATACAGAATCTTAAAGTGAAATGTTTAATGAAACTCAGCCGAATTGTGGCTTATGAAAACACGCAAGTTTTTTCACATGACAAGTAGAAAACAAACAGATCAAGGCGAGTGTTTTATGAACGAACGACAGCCGAATTCACCGGAACATAAAGATCGCTCGGGATGACAGCGCATCGGAGAGTATATCAGAGCAGGCTATTATTCTTTCACTCGAAATGCGCCCGATGTAGTTCCTGAGCCTTGCTTGCTTTGTAATGACCGAAGATCGCGATCATGAGCTAGCCGCGATGGACCTCGGCGTGATCGCAGTCGCTCTGACATCGGCATGATTAGTATGAATTTTAACAGTTATTCCAGTTTGGTTATTTTTTTCATCATTCCTGTTTTGTTCTGTTTTGTTTTTGATCTTGATTATGCTGCCCGAGGCCGTAGGTCACAGTTTTTCACCATACAGACCGACCCTTAGCCTGTAAATAACATGTTTATTTATTTTTTAAAATTTAACGAAATTCTCTCCGAAAGAACCCAAATGATTTAGGGCTGTAAATACGGCAAGATCTCCCATAAACTGAACAATTTTTGAGTGAGTCATAGAGGTGACGCAAATTAAAGAGAGATACTCCATCGAAACATTCTCGTTTGCGTAATGATAAAGGTGATTTAAAAGGCTTTCAAAACAAACTTTGAAACATTATTTTCACAAGTATGTGCATGTTCACTTTTAAAAAAAGACGAAACTAATTTGGCAAAGACTGTCACGACAGTGTTTTCTTCAAAAACAGTCAATGATCGAACGGAAAGTATTATTGTAGTTTTTGAATGTTTAATTGTACCCTCTCCACCCCCTTGTTTGTATATCGGAGCATGCGTGTTGCGATGTTAATAATTAAAACAACTTGTTGGATTCCTTTCAAAGGTGTTCTTTACTGTTTGTGTCAAATCCGTAAATGCACTACATTTTGGCGACGAGAACGGTCGTAAGTAGCTTTTGTTCGAGATGTCAAGTGTATATTTAAGCGATACACAGTTTTTAAAGCCATTTGACTGCCCTGAAACTGCTGGTATCTCCGCAAGCTGGGAAAGATGACTGCGAGCTTTTGAATGGTTTGCATAGGGAAGAGGAGTTCGAAATGTCGATCAGAAGAAGGCGTTATTGCTGCATACTGCTGGATTAGATGTTCAAGATATTTATTTCATGTTAAACGAAGAAGGAGGGTCGGATAACTACCAGAAAGCGACGGCGACCTTAAATAAATATTTCAAACCGTAAGCGTAAGCGAATGTTCCGTACGAAAGGCTTTGTTTTCGTGAAACTAACGAAACCGTCGAACAGTTTGTGACCAGATTGAGACAGAAAGCCCAAACCTGTGAATTTGGAGACGCAAACGCTGTAGAGTAGTAAATTCGTGATCAAGCTATTAGTAAGTTTGTCACACGAACTTCGTCGAAAGTTACTTCAGAAGAGTTAAGCCTTGACTTTGCAACAATTGAGAGAAATTGCCAGTGCTATGGAAGAGTCTGAGTAACAGGCCCATCCTACCCACTCAGGCAGCCAATCAGGAAACAGGATTCGCTTCGTATTTCCCAGGGGCGCCGCCAGCTATATGATAAATACGGTTATTAACCAGTTATAGTCGCCTTTTAAACCCTGATGAAAAACCATATTTATCAGTTTAATTTTTATCGAGGGGCATAATTGTGAATAAACCAGTACGCAGAGCCTCATAAGCATCTGCAAGCAACTCTCGGAGACCTTAAGGCGAAAACTTACGCTCAAATCCATTTTTGAAACCCTAACCTCTATTTAACTTGTTCATTCGTTCCTTTAAATTCGGAGATACGCGAAGACCCTCCCAAACCAGCACTAACCTTTTGCCCCTTAAGGTGACCGGTGTCTGATTTCTCTTTACGATTTCACCCTTGAATCAAACATTAAGGTCACGAGAATAAAGGAAATGATCACCAATTTGAGAAGCTCCTGATTGTTAATAAAATTCTCCTTTTCGGTACCATATGAAATTGAAAGAGAAAAGTCAGGAGAATATGAATATTGATACTAAGGTATAAAGGGTTAAATGAATACGCAAACACCGAACTTTGCTCCTTTGTAATCCTTTCTTTGCTTCTTTTGCCATTTCTTTATCATTAGAATTATTAAGTATTGTTACAAAATCGAGTCTGTGCTATGTTTCTTACTAAAGCTTAACAAATTAAGACACTTTCTTCTTTACATTCCCCATATCATTGGAGCGTTGACCTTTATTTCTTCCGAATGTTGTAAGGTAGGCCTGAAATGTGAGAGAATTGATCAAAATTAGAGATCGATATGGAACTGGAAATTTATGAAGAAAATAAAATTTAAGTTACACAGCACAGCACAGGTTTCATTCATATTTTCTCATACCGTTCTGACGTGGACCTTTACTTCCTCCTAAGTAGTTCACCTGTGGGTCTGAAATATGAAAAAAAATCGCTAGCGTGAGGGACTCGGACCTGAAAAGTGTGGCTCTCTTTAAAAAGCTTAAATGCCGAAAAAAGCACTCAATTTCCGTTGCCAATTATCAGTGCGCCAAACTATAAGAAGGGGTCTTACTTATCTAAACCCCTGATTACTTGTTTTTATCACGAAATTGTCAGCCATTACCAGAATATTGGGTGCATGAATGAAAGGATGGATTAGTAGATGAATGGAAAGATGGATGGATGGATGGATGGATAGATAAACAACGGGGGTGGGGTTAGGGGAGTTTTAAAGAGTGATGCACCACACTCCCAAAACTGCCCGCGGCGCGCTAACTTCACTTTTTTGTCTCACTGAAATTTTTGGACTCGCTCAGCGAACTTCGCCGCAAGGAGGGATTGTTTGTAGCCTACAAAAATAACAAAAAAAACCATTTTTACCAAATTTCTTTCGATAATTGAAACCGACTTGCCAATTCGGTCGGCCATTGTTCCTCCCCCATCCGCCACTAATGCCCACACTCGATTTGCCATTGTTACGCTGATAACTACCACTGATGCCCACTCTCGATCTGCCATCGTTACGCTGATAACTACCACTGATGCCCACTCTCGATTTGCCATTGTTACGCCCATAACTACCACTGACGCCCCAATTGCCTCGATGATAACTACCACTGATGCCCCAACCTCGTTTACCATTGATGCCCCAATCTTGTTTACTATTTTTTTGTCCTCCGCTGACATTGGCATCCATTGATGACCGACCAACATTGCTGTCCTCATTACTCTGTCGAGCGAAACGGGTAATAGGTGTTTCTGCAAAGGTAATTGATAACGTTTAAAATTGTTATTGCTCCATTTTTCTTTTTGAAAATAACAAATTTGAACGGATATCTAACAACAGCTAATTACTGATGTAGCAGTATTGGTTGATAGTTTTCTCTTCTGGCCCGCGCGAGTTACGCACAATTTTTGGAGCACTGATATCTATGCGTCAAACTCACACCAGTGCAGTGCTTTTAGAGAGAAGGTTTATCTCAGCTACATTCATAGATCCAATTTTTCTTCTGCAAATCCAGAAGAATTGAAAACTGCACTTAAACGACATGTGAGTGTGTGAGGGGGGGGGGGGGAAAGGGGGGGGGAAGGGGGGTATCTTTGTTCAACTTTGACTTTAAAAAAAAAATCTGCCCCGTGTCAGAAAAAAAGTTGAAATGCACTTACCAGTCTTGAGTATCTTCGGTAAGATCCTGCGATCACCAGCATCTAGTACACTAGGACCCAGAACCTTTAAATTAAAATGGTCTTGTCAATGTTAGTGGTAATGATAAACAACGATTTAGTGATATCATCTAAAAGCTATCGACACTAAGAAAGACTTAAAGCGAAGATGTCTTGATTGAGTATCATGGAACAACAACAAGACAAATCAAAGTGCTCTGTGAGCAAACTCGTGAATTGACACATGATTTTTTAGACTATGTTTAATGTTATCTGGTTTAGGGAATTTTGTGGTTGATTGTCATATCTAGAGTACAAGCAGTAGTTCAGTGTTCGCTAATGTAGCAAAGAAACAAAGTAACGTTGGGATAAGAAGGCATTACAATTGAAATGATCATGCTATTACATTTGACAAGGTGGATGATGTCATGTGTTTTAAACGTCTATCATTTTTGTTTCTGGTTCAAAAGAAAAGGTTGGAAGTAAATGTGGGTGAAAAGTGAAATTTACTGTCTTTCGTTGTAAATATTAGAAAATCAAGGCAATACTGTCTTAATGAAAACATTAACGATTCCCTCTTTATCAAATGAGACAAACGGGAACGAGTTTTGAGTGATATAACTAAGCCAAGCCTGCCACCGTCATTTTGGATCTCCGCCTGGGTAGATTTAAGTCACGTGCTAGGCAACGTATAATCAATAACAAGATAGAATTTCATTTCAGGCCTATTTACCAATTTTGTGGTGTATAACTTTCGCATTTTAGTACGTTGTATGTATGTTGAATCTTCAAATTGTCTTGAAACTTAAAAGAAAATTGTTCTTTAAAAATTCACTGAAAATCGGTAGCTAAAATTGTTTGTTTAGGTGTTATTTGATTTTCGTGTTAACTTGTTATTTCGTCAGTCGCCGGCATCTTTTGTTGCTTCACACTGGAAAAACACACGCGACGAAACGTAATGATCAATTTTGTCCTCAATCTTACGCCATAACAGAAAAAGCTTTTGAACATCTGTACTCTTACATCTGTAACTCCGAGCGCTTCGCAGTAAGTGATATTTTCAATGAATCTTCGGACTGTTTTCAAGTTCAAGGATTGTAAATTACAATTTTATGAAAAACGAAGGTTGTTCTGTTATTTCAGTGTGAATCCTTGCATGCCTGCCAGTCGCTGGCGCCGCTTGTTGAAACTAAAACGGAAAAAAAAAACTTTTTTAAGATTATCATTGGCTTCTTTTTCACCACACCACTATTCTTAACAACAAAGGTCGCCATTTCGTCTGTTTATTGCTCGCCAAAAACTATCAAATGCACTCAAAATCCTAAAATCTAAAAAAAGTTTACAGGAATCGACCAATCGAGCGAGCGAGCGAGCGAATGGCATTCCCCACATCGTATCTATAACTCGCTCTCGCGCATGCGCGCAATTCACGAGTTAAAAGGAAATCAAAATAAATAACACGAGGTATAAACAGATAAACTGTCTAATGCGGGAATAAACGGGAAATAACCAAGTTGTGATTGGTTTCAGTTTTGCATTTGATTGGTTGATAGATTGTCGTAAATGTCTTAGACCACGTACAAGGAGAAGCGAAGCAAAGCTAATGCAGACCCCGAATAAAGACGGTAATTTTCTAAAGAATCTGTGGTGCAGCGTTGGTGAGGGATATCACATGATTAATTGGTTTTATGGAAATCGATCTCCATAAAGAGTTTCTAAAGCTGAAGTTTCTAGTGTTAGCTCTTCGTCAGAGTCGGTACAATCCCTGATTACTTTCGACAACCAAGTTGCCATTTAAACCGCAATTGCTTTTTGATTGATTTAGTTTACATCATGAAATAAAAGGCCAAAAATTAATCAATAGTTTTTTTTACACCCGTTAAAATAAAATAAGACACTCCCGCATTATTTCTGACTCTTAATTGAAGATTGCATCAAATGTGAAAATAAATGTGGTGAACGCTATAAACATGATAGCTTATCTGAAACACACGAAACTCTTGTGGTAGTACATTACCTTTGTTTTCAGCGCGGCGTTTTCCTCATTTTCCGAGGGAAATGAATTCGCCACCGCCAGAGTAACCAGCAGCATAACAAAGCGCTTCATATTCTGTTTATGAAAACTAAAATCATAATAAAATACGTCAGATGAGTAATCACTTTTCTCTCTGGGTACTTGGTTGACTTAGTTCTCACTGAAGTTGTGACCATTGAAGTATCCAGGACTATGTGATCATCTATCCCGAATTTTGCTTATGGGGAAGACATCCCTTTTAGTGATGCTCTGCGCTTTCATAATACTAAATACAATTCGATTACCCGTAGATATGGAACATTGGAACCCCCAAAAAACTGAAAGGGATAACTTTCAACAGACTTACATTCCATGTGGGAGCAGCGGCAACATTCTTGGTCGCTTTGTTGGAATAGACGGGTCAAATTCTTGATTGTAAACTACAGGCTCCAAGAGGTTACTTAAGTCACAGAATTAGTCCTAAATTCTTATATGGCTGACTACGGCGAAGAATTAGGTATGAAGAAAGTAGAGGAAGGAATGGAAATAGATTTGACCTCCTTTAAATTTGTTCGTAATATAACTAAATGAACTGAGTCATGAATTAAGTCAGATAATACAGAACGAAGAAAAAAAGCAGATCCGGTCGTTGCCTTACCTTGAGATGAATTCTGGACGCTGTTATCCTGCTTCGTAAGAGCACGGAGTGAGTATGGATAATGCTATGTATGTATTTAATCTTTTATAACATCCAAACATTACTAATTAGCACTGTTAATGCCTGATAGTGTGTATCAGTTTCGTACCCGTACGGTTCGAACCTAAATTCAGACAATTTGTTACTAGCGAAAACAAATATCGATTTTGTACGTAGGTTAAGATTGTACAATAATGACACAACACATACATACATATCATTTATTTAAACCCGAATTTCAGAGTTGCTATATAAAATTAGCCAATATTTTCCAGAAATAATAATGAAATAAATAAAAACGTTATCAAAAACGAAACAAAAAAAATATTTATTTGCATATGTATTAACATATATAAAAGGCTTATAGCTATACTCATATTTTAAGAAATGCTGCAATTGGAAATATATATGCAAATATTCTTTTCATCATACTTGCTTTAAACATACTTGACATGGAAAACAATATTTAGTAGAACCTTTTAAACACTTATCTAATAGTTTCGTACATAAGGAAGTTTCGCACCCGTACGGTTCGAACCTAAATTCAGGCAATTTGTAACCAACGAAAACAAATATCGTTTGTGTACAAAGGTCAAGAAGTGTAGGGAGAAACACTCGACTACGTCTTGTGTTTCTCTCCACTTCTTGAGTGCTCTACCGGCTTCCTAAGTGTTTTAAAACAGAACAGAGCACAGTTAAGGCTTCTTTATTTGTTTTATAATAAAGAATTCGTTAAATTCCCCAAGCAAACTCCCAAGCATTACTTTCAATTTTCAAAACAAACTTTATTTCCAAAGCGAACAACAGTGTCGTCAGCATGCTGTATACTCTCATAAAGCATGCTACAATAAGCCAATCAGAATCTTTGTTAGAATGGTTCAAATAATCTGATTGGCTGTACAAGACTAAAGCTGTCAAAAATGTCAAGTCATCAAAGTTCAACAAACCATCAATAGTTCACATTCTGTAATAGTTTACAAACTAAATTCAATAGTTCGGCAGGTCTAATTTAACACTTCTGCCTAAAGTTTTTTAGTCTCTAATACAGAATCTTAAAGTGAAATGTTTAATGAAACTCAGCTGAATTGTGGCTTATGAAAACACGCAAGTTTTTTCACATGACAAGTAGAAAACAAACAGATCAAGGCGAGTGTTTTATGAACGAACGACAGCCGAATTCACCGGAACATAAAGATCGCTCGGGATGACAGCGTATCGGAGAGGATATCAGAGCAGGCTATTATTCTTTCACTCGAAGGGCGCCCGTTGTAGTTCCTGAGCCTTGCTTGCTTTGCGATGACCGAAGATCGCGATCATGAGCTAGCCGCGATGGACCTCGGCGTGATCGCAGTTGCTCTGACATCGGCATGATTAGTATGAATTTTAACAGTTATTCCAGTTTGGTTATTTTTTTCATCATTCCTGTTTTGTTTTGTTTTGTTTTTGATCAGGAAACTTTACTTACTATACGAGTGTTAGCTGTGTTTGATTTTTATTACCGTACATAAGCTTGCCATCTAACTAAGCGTGAAAACTTCTAAAACTCGGACTGTCCATTTCGTTTTCTCCTTGAGGATTTTCGTCCCTGCTCACGTTATAATAACGTAAATTACGGCGCCTGGCCTTTTTAAAAACCTTTGTTTGGTTCTTCTGTTGCTACTTGCCGGCTCGCTTGTTCCGAAATTTCACTTTCAATTAACGAAAAATCCAGGTCAAACATAGTACAATTTGGCAGATGGGGTGACAGCTTTAGCTCAGCTCTATGCTCTATACTCTCATAGAGTACGCTCTTTCAACTAATGACTGCACGCGTTATATCCGAACTTTATTAGAAATACATAAAGGTTATTTGCTGGCTGGGAGGTTCGTATGGTGAAAGACTGTGGCCGAGGTCTTGATTATGCTGCCCGAGGCCGTAGGTCACAGTTTTTCACCATACAGACCGACCCTTAGCCTGTAAATAACATGTTTATTTATTTTTTAAAATTTAACGAAATTCTCTCCGAAAGAACCCAAATGATTTAGGGCTGTAAATACGGCAAGATCTCCCATAAACTGAACAATTTTTGAGCGAGTCATAGAGGTGACGCAAATTAAAGAGAGATACTCCATCGAAACATTCTCGTTTGCGTAATGATAAAGGTGATTTAAAAGGCTTTCAAAACAAACTTTGAAACATTATTTTCACAAGTATCTGTTACAATCTGACACCTGTCAATTAGAGAGCCCGTAAGAGAAAAAAAAGCGCATGTTCACTTTTAAAAAAAGACGAAACTAATTTGGCAAAGACTGTCACGACAGTGTTTTCTTCAAAAACAGTCAATGATCGAACGGAAAGTATTATTGTAGTTTTTGAATGTTTAATTGTACCCTCTCCACCCCCTTGTTTGTATATCGGAGCATGCGTGTTGCGATGTTAATAATTAAAACAACTTGTTGGATTCCTTTCAAAGGTGTTCTTTACTGTTTGTGTCAAATCCGTAAATGCACTACATTTTGGCGACGAGAACGGTCGTAAGTAGCTTTTGTTGGAGATGTCAAGTGTATATTTAAGCGATACACAGTTTTTAAAGCCATTGACTGCCCTGAAACTGCTGGTATCTCCGCAAGCTGGGAAAGATGACTGCGAGCTTTTGAATGGTTTGCATAGGGAAGAGGAGTTCGAAATGTCGATCAGAAGAAGGCGTTATTGCTGCATACTGCTGGATTAGATGTTCAAGATATTTATTTCATGTTAAACGAAGAAGGAGGGTCGGATAACTACCAGAAAGCGACGGCGACCTTAAATAAATATTTCAAACCGTAAGCGTAAGCGAATGTTCCGTACGAAAGGCTTTGTTTTCGTGAAACTAACGAAACCGTCAAACAGTTTGTGACCAGATTGAGACAGAAAGCCCAAACCTGTGAATTTGGAGACGCAAACGCTGTAGAGTAGTAAATTCGTGATCAAGCTATTAGTAAGTTTGTCACACGAACTTCGTCGAAAGTTACTTCAGAAGAGTTAAGCCTTGACTTTGCAACAATTGAGAGAAATTGCCCGTGCTATGGAAGGGTCTGAGTAACAGGCCCGTTCGATTGAAGGAGCAAGCAATACAAGTAACAGGGTTAATAGTGTGGGTGGAAAGGTGGATCACAGAGGAGGCCCGAACACAAGGAATGTTAAATGTTTTTGTTGTGGAAATGTGGGACATAAAGCTAACGATCACTGATGCTCAGCTAGAGGGAAACAGTGCAGAAAATGTAATGGGACTGAACATCGATATGCAACATTTAACTGTCTTCTGCCGCTTTTTGCGCCGAAATTGTGCAAAGGTTGCGAACATTGTAAGTCCGCTCCACGCGCTTCTTTTTGGGGCAAGATCAAAGTGGGAAAGATGGGCCCATCCTACCCACTCAGGCAGCCAATCAGGAAACAGGATTCGCTTAGTATTTCCCAGGGGCACCGCCAGCTATATGATAAATACGGTTATTAACCAGTTATAGTCGCCTTTTAAACCCTGATGAAAAACCATATTTATCAGTTTAATTTTTATCGAGGGGCATAATTGTGAATAAACCAGTACGCAGAGCCTCATAAGCATCTGCAAGCAACTCTCGGAGACCTTAAGGCGAAAACTTACACTCAAATCCATTTTTGAAACCCTAACCTCTATTTAACTTGTTCATTCGTTCCTTTAAATTCGGAGATACGCGAAGACCCTCCCAAACCAGCACTAACCTTTTGCCCCTCAAGGTGACCGGTTTCTGATTTCTCTTTACGATTTCACCCTTGAATCAAACATTAAGGTCATGAGAATAAAGGAAATGATCACCAATTTGAGAAGCTCCTGATTGTCAATAAAATTCTCCTTTTCAGTGCCATATGAAATGGAAAGAGAGAAGTCAGGAGAATATGAATATTGATACTAAGGTATAAAGGGTTAAATAAATACGCAAACACCGAACTTTGCTCCTTTATAATCCTTTCTTTGCTTCTTTTGCCATTTCTTTATCATTAGAATTATTAAGTATTGTTACAAAATCGAGTCTGTGCTATGTTTCTTACTAAAGCTTAACAAATTAAGACAGTTTCTTCTTTACACTCCCCATATCATTGGAGCGTTGACCTTTATTTCTTCCGAATGTTGTAAGGTAGGCCTGAAATGTGAGAGAATTGATCAAAATTAGAGATCGATATGGAACTGGAAATTTATGAAGAAAATAAAATTTAAGTTACACAGCACAACACAGGTTTCATTCATATTTTCTCATACCGTTCTGACGTCGACCTTTACTCCCTCCTAAGTAGTTCACCCGTGGGTCTGAAATATGAAAAAAAAATCGCTAGCGTGAGGGACTCGGACCTGAAAAGTGTGGCTCTCTTTAAAAAGCCTAAATGTCGAAAAAAGCACTCAATTTCCGTTGCCAATTATCAGTGCGCCCAACTATAAGAAGGGGTCTTACTTATCTAAAAACCCCTGATTTCTTGTTTATCACGAAATTGCCAGCCATTACCAGAATATTGGGTGCATGAATGAAAGGATGGATTAGTAGATGAATGGAAAGATTGACGGATGGATGGATAGATAAACAACGGGGTTGGGGTTAGGGGAGTTTTAAAGAGTGATGCACCACACTCCCAAAACTACCCGCGGCGCGCTAACTTCATTTTTTTGTCTCACTGAAATTTTTGGACCCGCTCAACGAACTTCGTCGCAAGGAGGGATTGTTTGTAGCCTACAAAAACAACAACAACCATTTTTACCAAATTTCTTTCGATAATTCGGTCGGCCATTGTTCCTCCCCAATCCGCCACTGATGCCCACAATCGATCTGCCATTGTTACGCTGATAACTACCACTGATGCCCACACTCGATCTGCCATTGTTATGCTGATAACTACCACTGACGCCCCAATTGCCTCGATGATAACTACCACTGATGCCCCAACCTCGTTTACCATTGATGCCCCAACCTCGTTTACCACTGATGCCCCAACCTCGTTTACCATTGATGCCCCAATCCTGTTGACTATTTTTTTGTCCTCCGCTGACACTGGCATCCATTGATGACCGACCAACATTGCTGTCCTCACTACTTTGTCGAGCGAAACGGGTTTCTGCAAAGGTAATTGATAACGTTTGAAATTGTTATTGCTCCATTTTTAATTTTTGAAAATAACAAATTTGAACGGATATCTAACAACAGCTAATTACTGATGTAGCAGTATTGGTTAATAGTTGTCTCTTCTGGCCCGCGCGAGTTACGCACAATTTTTGGAGCACTGATATCTATGCGTCAAACTCACACCGTTGCAGTGCTTTTAGAGAGAAGGTTTATCTCAGCTACATTCATAGATCCAATTTTTCTTCTGCAAATCCAGAAGAATTGAAAACTGCACTTAAACGACATGTGAGTGTGTGAGGGGGGGGGGGGGGGGGGGGGGAAGGGGGGTATCTTTGTTCAACTTTGACTTTAAAAAAATCTGCTCAGTGTCAGAAAAAAAGTTGAAATGAACTTACCAGTCGTGAGTATCTTCGGTAGGATCCTGCGATCACCAGCATCTAGTACACTAGGACCCAGAACCTTTAAATTAAAATGGTCTTGTCAATGTTAGTGGTAATGATAAACAACGATTTAGTGATATCATCTAAAAGCTATCGACACTAAGAAAGACTTAAAGCGAAGATGTCTTGATTGAGTATCATGGAACAACAACAAGAACAAAAAAGGAAATCAAAATAAATAACACAACACAATACAATGAAAACTCGAGGTATAAACAGATAAACTGTCTAATGCGGGAATAAACGGGAAATAATCAAGTTGTGATTGGTTTTAGTTTTGCATTTGATTGGCTGATAGATTGTCGTAAATGTCTTAGACCACACACAAGGAGAAGCGAAGCAAAGCTAATGCAGTCCCCGAATAAAGACGGTAATTTTCTAAAGAATCTGTGTTGCTGCGTTGGTGAGGGATATCACATGATTAATTGGTTTTATGGAAATCGATCTCCATAAAGAGTTTCTAAAGCTGAAGTTTCGAGTGTTAGCTCTTCTTCAGAGTCGGTACAATCCCTGATTACTTTCGAAAACCAAGTTGCCATTTAAACCGCAATGCTTTTTGATTGATTCAGTTTACATCATGAAATAAAAGGCCAAAAATTAATCAATAGTTTTTTTTAGACCCGTTGAAATAATATAAGACACTCCTGCATTATTTCTGACGTTGCATCAAATGTGAAAATAAATGTCGTTAACGCTATGAATGTGATAGCTCATCTGAAACACACGAAGCTCTTGTGGTAGTACATTACCTTCGTTTTCAGCGCAGCGTTTTCCCCATTTTCCAAGGAAAATGAATTCGCCACCGCCAGAGTAACCAGCAGCATAACAAAGCGCTTCATATTCTGTTTATGAAAACTAAAATCATAATAAAACACGTCAGATGAGTAATCACTTTTATTGTTTTTTTAGAGGGCACGGTAACGAATCTTGCAATCTGATTGGTTCTTTACCCGGTCAGTATTTTCCTATCTCTGCCCACGGGCCACGGTAACGCTTTCGTGAGTCGCCGAGTACATCCCAACTTTCGTTGTCATTTTTCATAAATATACCTCGTTTTCCGGCTGGGCAGTATTTTTAAGCAAACACGTCGGTCACTACCTCAAGCCGATAAATAACTTATGAATCCTCTCTTTTCTCTCTATCAAATCACTTTGGTTGACAGAAAAATATTGGTTTCAGAATGAATTTGTATAAACAATAGTGTCATTACTTTGGTTGACAAGCGGCCTAAAAACCGTCTGCAATTAATTTTAATCGTTCACATAAAGTACCCAGAAAGTTGAAACGTGAGGTATTTGGTTACAGTTAAACTGAACGATGGAACTTTCATTCATTTAATATCTGAATTTTCTCGAGCAATTTGTTCATAGTGAAAGACCGAGCGAAGTTTTAATTTAAGTTCTACAACAAATATACGCTCCTGGTGAGTCTTTCCAATTCCGTTCAATTTGGACATTTGTACCTTAAATTGCACAACAGAAATTGAAGGAATTTTTTGAGAAAAGGCCGCATTACATTCCCTTGTGTCTCGTTGGAGTGTGCCGTTCGAATTTAGTTTTTGTGAAGGAAAGATCAGAGTTAAACACGCCATTACAGCAAACAAACGAGCAAACTCTCACAACTTCAAAATAAAAAAAATTGAATTTACTCACAATTACTTTCCTCGCCGTTTACTTAATGAACAGAGGTAAATCTTCGTACATGAATGAATGGTCGATGAGAGTGAATAATACTTTCCGTTAGATCATTAACTGATTTTGAAGAAAATATTGTTGTGACAGTCCTTGCCAAACTCGTTCTGTTGGTTTTCAAATGTTCCCACGATTTTTTTTTTCTTGCGCGCTCTCTAATTGACAGGTGTCAGATTGTGACAGATACTTGTAAAAATAATGTTTCAAAGTTTGTTTGGAAGCCTTTTAAATCACCTTTATCGTTACGGAAATGAAAATGTTTCGCTGAGGCATCTCTCTTAAATTTGCATCACCTCTATTTTAACTACCATTTACCCACTCAAAAATTGTTCAGTTTATGGAAGATCTTGCCGTATTTACGTCCATAAATCATTAGGGTTCTTTCGGAAAGAATTTCGTCAAGTTTAAAAACAATAAATATGTTATTTACCGGCTAAGGGTCGGTCCGTATGGTGAAAAACTGTGACCTCGGTCTTGAAAATGCTGCCCTCGGCCTACGGCCTCGGGCAGTATTTTCAAGACCTCGGTCACAGTTTTTCACCATACGGACCTCCCAGCCGGCAAATAACATATATTTATTTTTTTTTTTCAGAGGGCACGGTAACGAATCCTGCAATCTGATTGGTTCTTTACCCGGTCAGTATTTTCCTATCTCTGCCCACGGGCAACGGTAACGCTTTCGTGAGTCGCCGAGTACATCCCTTCATTCGTTGCTATTTTTCATAAATATATCTCGTTTTACCGGCTGGGCAGTATTTTTAAGCAAAGAAGTCAGTCACTACCTCAAGCCGATAAATAACTTATTAATCCTCTCTTTTCTCTCTCTCAAGTCACTTTGGTCGACTGAAAAATTTTCGTTTCAGAATGACTTTTTTGTATAAGCAATAATGTCATTACGTCGGTTGACAGGCGGCCTAAAAACCGTCTGCAATTGATTTTAATCGTTCACAAAAAGTACCTAGAGAGTTAAAACGTAAGATATTTGGCTACAGTTGAACTGATCGATGGAACTTTCATTCATTTAATATCTGAATTTTCTCAAACAATTTGTTCGTAGTGTAAAGGCGTGCGATGTTTTAATTTCAGTTCTGCAACAAATATACGCTCTCGGTGAGTCTTTTCAAGTCCGTTCAATTCGGAAATTTGTATCGTAAATTGCACAACAGAAACTTAAGGAATTAAATGAGAAAAGGCCGCATGAAATCCCCTTGTGTCTTGTTGGAGTATATGATCTGAATTTAGTTTTTGCGGAGGAAAGACCAGATTTTCACACGCCATTGCAGCAAACAAACGAGCAAACTCTCACAACTTCAACACAAAATATTTGAATTTACTTATAATTACTTTCCTCGCCGATTACTGAATGAAAAAAGGTAAATCTTCGTACACAAATTAATCGTCGATGAGAGTGAATAATACTTTCCGTAAGATCATTGACTGTTTAAGAAGAAAACAATGTGGTGATAGTCCTTGCCAAACTAGTTTCGTTGTTTTTTACAAATTTACATGCGCTTTTTTCTTTTCTTACGCGCTCTCTAATTGAAAGGTGTCAGATTGTGACAGATACTTGTATAATAACGTTTCAAAGTTTGTTTGGAAGCCTTTTAAATCACTTTTATCATTACGCAAATGAAAATGTTCTCCCCCACTGTTCAGTTTATGGAAGATTTTGCTGTATTTACAGTCCTAAATCATTCGGGTTCTTTCGGAATGAATTTCGTCAAGTTTAAAAAAAATAAATATGTCATTTACCGGCTAAGGGTCGGTCCGTATGGTGAAAAACTGTGACCTCGGCCTTGAAAATGCTGCCCTCGGCCTACGGTCTCGGGCAGCATTTTCAAGATCTAGGTCACAGTTTTTCACCATAAGGACCTCCCAGCCGGCAAATAACATATGTTTATCTCTGGGTACTTGGCCTTGAGCAAGAGCAGATCCAGTAGTTACCTTACCTTGAGATGAATCCTGGACGCTGTTCTCCCGCTTCGTAAGAGCACGGAGTGAATATGGATATTGCTATACACGTATCTAATCTTTTATAACAGACAATCACTGCTAATTAGCACAATTAATGCCTGATGGTATCTAATAGTTTCGTACCGAGGGAACTTTCGTACTTAGGCAATTCGAACCTAAGAGCACGGAGTGAATATGGATATTGCTATACACGTATCTAATCTTTTATAACAGACAATCACTGCTAATTAGCACAATTAATGCCTGATGGTATCTAATAGTTTCGTACCGAGGGAACTTTCGTACTCAGACAATTCGAACCTAACTTCAAATTCGTAACCAGCGAAGATAAATATTGATTGTGCAGGTAAATCAAGTTTGTAAAATAATGACGCAGCATATACATGCATATCATTTATTTACACCCGAATTTCAGAGTAGCCACGTAAAAATAGCTTATATTTTAGAGAAATAATAATAAAATAATTAAAAAACGTTATCAAAAACGAAACAACGTGAAGAAAAAAAATATTTATATGTATATGTATTTACAAATATAAAAGACTGATGGCTATTCACCCATTTTCAAAAAAGCTTCAATTAGAAGTATAAAGCCTTCTTGGCATACTTACTTTGAATTTGAACAGAATTTAGCAGCAATTAGCAATTCTATCTTTATTGGAAGCCGCATCAATGAAATAGCGTCGACATTGTCTTTTCTTTCAGTTCAAGTCAAATTTTTTCTAACAAAATCGACAGCTTACGAAACCGGAAGAAATTCAGTTCTAACGGAAGTTTCATTACCCATGTTTTGTTTGATGGGGGAAAAAAAGGTTTTTTTGGAGAACTTGAATGTAACAGATTAATATTTAAAAGAAAATTGGAGCAGAGAAGCAAATCCGAATAATCGAAAAATCTGGATGATCGAGGATGTTAGTATAGGTACGAATTGAATGAGTACGAAACGTCCGAGGGGACAAAACCACTCAAAGCCGCCAGATCATTCCACGTTTTAACTTCTCATGAAGGAAATGGCATCGTGTCCCAAAGGAAGGAAAAAAAAACAATCTCTGTAAATGTTAATTGTGGATTCGCAAGTATTTTGTTTTTATGCAGCAGTTGAAAGCGCTCGACATTCGATTCATTCAATGCGACTTGTCTGTTGATATGTGATCCCCCAGTAAACTGTTTTAGGATCTCCTTGAATGTAATTTTTGAATTTAGTTTTTGGGCATCAAACTTTATCGTAATTCAAGACGATTGAATTCAGGTTTTTATCTTATATCAAGACCTCATCAGTTAGCTTTGCAACCACTAATTTATGGGTGAAGCTTGAAAAATCATACAACAAAAATAGAGGTAAATATGAAAGCGATCTTCGCAATAATGAATACTACTTAGGCAAGTTGTAAAATAAGGTCTGAAGAACAAAAAATTCAGGACTATACAGGATTTGAACTCATGGCCTCTGCGATACCGATTCAGTGCCCTACGAACTGAGCTAACAAGCTAAGTTTCTGATGAAGGCATCGCTCTCTTGAATTTCTGTGATGTTTTTGCACGAGCCCGCAAGGGAAGTGAAATTTGTTGTCTTTGAAAAATTGCATATTGCACCAACTTGCAAGAGAAATCATGTTATTACTTGTTAATAATCCACATGAAAAATCTTCATAGAAAGTCAAGACATGTACAGTCGAAATTTTGAAAGAGTGCGCGCGCTATTTGTAATTTGCACTCGTATTACAACTTTGCACTCGTAAAGAGAATGAGAATGCATTCGTTTTCAGCCAATTAGAAGTGCGCGTTCATGTACTATATCAAGCGAGAAATTGGCCTTCAAATTTTATTTTAAAACTATAATCTCTGTTTAACTTTTTGACCTCTCCTCCCGATACCAAGCTCGATAAGACTCTCCCTCTAAAGAGCACAAAATAACTACGCAAACATTGAGCTACGCTCCATTTCAATCTTTTATTCGAGTTCTTTGCAATTACAGAATTATATCTGAATCGTTATAATCATCAACAACTGTTGCAAAATCGAGTTTAAAAGTTTTTTTTCCGTGTTGGAGCTGAACAAGTCAGGACAAGTCTCATTCATATTTTTCCATATCATTCGAGCCTTGACCTTTTCCTTCTCCAAAGTCGTACATAGCTGGAACTGAAATGTGAGAGAATTCACAAAAGTAAGAGATCGATATGAAAAGTATAATTCTCTTTACAGAGCTTAAATAGCAAAAAAGACTCCGAAAAAAAATTAATCATTTAATGCCCCATTTATAAATTATCAGTGCCCCTGTTGGTCGAGGTCGACTTTGTTTCAGACTTTTACCAGACTAGTGGGTTGATTGATTAGGGAGTCATTGGGGTCATTCAGATGTGGCGCTGCAAAAGTAATTAACATTATCTGAAATCAATGGTTGTAACTTTTTTTAAAATTTTCTTGGAACATTATGAGGTTGAGTTGAAGTGAATGTGACTGCACTGAAAAATCTAACAACAGCAAACAAATCACTGAGTGGACGTAATATAGGATAAAATATGGCAAATCAATCGAATGGAGGGATAAGCACTCCTGTGAAGGGGGGGTGGGGGGGGGGGCTGGGGGGAGAGGAGGTAGGGGAGAAGGGGTTGGTGGCGGGATGGTTTACCTCATGCAAAACTCCAGAGGCTGCCCACCACATTATATGAGCAGGAAAAAGTCTGCATTGTATTGATGCAAAAAATTCCCTGATTGTGTATGGAAAAACAAACAACAACAACATAGCAACAGAGAGATAACATTCGAATTATCGATAAATGCCGTAATGCACCTACCAATATCCCTTTTTCCTTGTGAACCAAAATTAAAGCCCCATCCTGAGTTACCATTATTGCGCCCTCCACCAACATTAACACCCCCACTGGGCCAACCAACGTTCACACCCCAACCGTGGTTACCATTATTGTGCCCTCCACCAACATTGACACCCCCATTGGGCCAACCAACATTCACACCCCAACCGTGGTTACCATTATTGTGCCCTCCACCGACATTGACACCCCCATTGGGCCAATCAACATTGACGCCCCATGTATTTGGTCGAGCGGGGTCGTTCAGATGTGGCGCTGCAAAAGTAATTAACATCATCTGAAATCAATAGTTGTAACCTTTTTTCAAAATTTTCTTAGAAAATTGTAAAGTTGAGCTGAAGTAAATAGGACTGCACTGAAAAATCTAACAAGAGCAAACAAATCACTGACGTAATACAAGATGAAATTTGGCTAATTAATTTGCATCAGTGTGGTGCTTCTGCAAAGTAAGTTTATATCGGTTTTATTAATAGATTCAATAAATGAGAGCTGTACATGTAGTTAAACTTCACGAGAGTGAAGGGAATTTATCATTGCTTAAACATCAAAAATCTGTTTTTTGACAATTGGCAAAAAGCACTAAAAAATGTTTAAAAATTGCACTCACCAATCAATACTCTGCGATGGGCAGTTGGGCGTAAAATCTTAAAAAACAAAAAAATTTACTGATATGGTCAAAAAGCAGTCAACACCGGTACAGAATAAGGATTGTGGCAAAGGCTTTTGATCGAGTACCGATCCGACTTTCAGCGTGAAAGAGCTTAAAAACAAAAACAGTACGGACGGCTTGTTGTTTGGATCCATAAGAAAAGATTAATGAATAAACACCAACAATATCCTTGATCGTTTACGAGACACCAATAAAGATTCTCCAAACGTGAAAAAAGTATCTTTAACGATTCCATTTGAAAAAAACAAAGCTGTTGTATTTCCGACATTACCTTCCTTTTCAACGAAGAGTCTTCATCATTTTTCAAGGGAAATGAATTCACCACCACTAGAGTCATCAGAAACACAACAAAGCACTTCATATTCTGCTTTTCTTTTAAAAAAAATCGGAGCAAAACAAAGTGTTACTTTAAACACAGAATTGATCGTAAGTTGTGTTCATTACCCACTCTGTCTAAGAACTATGAAATGACAACATTAAAGAAAGCTCGGAAAAAAGGATGAAATGCCACTGAAATAAATTAAACCTGCCCTAAAATTGCAGACAAACTGCATTTAACTTTCCCAGATGGTATGGAACTGTGGAAATACCTTGCAATCTTATTATTGATAGTTACCTTCAGAAAAAGTCTGGACTTTGTATTCCCGGATCTTGTGAGAGCCAATAGTGATATGGGGAATGCTAAAAGTATCTGATGTTTTTATAACAACCAAACAATACTTATTCACATTTTAAGTGCCTAATCAACGAATGGTGATAATGGAAATTATATCATGTCCCACACAGGAAGGAAACATTACAAGGGGTTGTATATATTGATGGTGAATTCACAAGTACTTTGTTTTCAAGTTACAGTTGAGCGCGTGCACGACATTTGATAGGCAATATCGAATTTGTTTAAAAAAAAATTTTAATGTAAGATCCCCTGGTAGATTGTTTCGAAGTTAGTTTTTTTTTTATATTACGACTGCAACGAACTGTAAGTACTTTTAATAAGTTTATATGTAGGTGTACGTTACAACTATTGAGAGCCTGATGAGGAATTATAATTGAGGTTTTGAATGTCAACGCTATGATTTTCTTTTTTCTTATTGGGAATAACGACTTGCCACATTCGAATGAGCGCACGTAGAAATGATATAACTCCTCTCCAAACTTCTCTCACTTTTTTTTCTTATCTCGTTAACTATCTTTGTACCTGCACTAGAAAAACATTCAATTCCTTACAAGGAAAGTTTTTTTTTCATGGAGATGGTAACTTGGCCCAACATTAATTCAACGTTTTTCTTGCAGTCAAAGGACACTTATTAGTATAATAAGTACTTGATGGTCCCCCCATGGATGGCTTCAAAGGGGAATGTGGGTGGGAATATTTGAAAAAAACAAGTTTACATTAGCAAAGAAATCATAGGAACGCATAGAATGTCGTGCGCGCGAAATAGTAAATTATGAAGAGCAAAATATTTTAACTAAATTTAAATTATCTATCCGAAGATCATAAAATATTTATCAAGG